GTCCTGTTTCAGGTGTCGCATATTCCAAGCATATTGTGCATATCTATTCGTATCATGGTGGCAATGATTTAAGGAATCATCTAGAGGTTTGTCTCTTACTCACAACCTTATATCTGATATTGGCGCAATTTCTGTCTATTTTCCTAGTAGGTTACAGTTCTGCTTATGTGTTTTGTGGTATTCATTGTTATATGTGGATTACGTAAGCATGAAATCTGTTCACTGGGAGAAATTATAGCTCCGTGGTTTGTAGATTTTCTTGTCTGTAGGATTCTGATAATATGGTTATATTTGTTTGGGTCTCTATTTGCTGTTGTCGCTGAGAAGCATTCTTGGATCTTTGAAATAGCTGAATTCCCAACGTGCTGATGTTTGTATTTTTTTGTTTTTCCATTATAGATTGATGCTCATGCTGGTAACGTCAACGATCTGGCTTTCTCCCTACCAAACCAGCAATTGTGTGTTGTGACTTGTGGAGAAGACAAGACAATCAAGGTTTGCATCTTGGCGTGTGATTTCAACTTGTATAATGAGACCATCCTGCTTATATAAATAATTTCTATACAGGTCTGGGATGCTGTTACCGGAAATAAATTGCACACTTTTGAAGGTCATGAGGCACCTGTTTATTCTGTGTGCCCACACCAGAAAGAGAATATTCAGGTAGTGTAATATGCTGAAAGCGTCTCTTGCTCTTTAGTCTAGGGCATTCCTTAAGATGAAATTGTTCTTTCTCTGCACAGCTAGAATTCCTAATCTTTTATACTTCCATCCTACGCCAAGCTTATATTGTGTTTTTTCTTGTGTTTTTGCTACCTAGGGATGTGAGCAATTTTATGTTTCTTCATCTTTTTTTACTCTGTGTGCAAGCTTCCTTTTTCCTTGAGATTTATGAGATTTTTTCTTTCTGTCAGTTCATATTCTCAACTGCTGTTGATGGGAAAATAAAGGCTTGGTTATATGACAACATGGGTTCTAGAGTGGATTATGATGCCCCTGGTCGATCATGCACGGCGATGGCATATTGTGCTGATGGAACTAGGTAAATGATTTCCTGCGATTCTTGTTGTGCTATAATTATCCACCCTTTTGCTCATGTCTCTTTTCTCTTCTCGTTTGTTGCAGATTATTCTCCTGTGGTACTAGCAAGGAGGGTGAATCATTCGTTGTGGAATGGAATGAAAGTGAGGGAGCCGTGAAGCGGACTTACCTTGGACTGGGGAAACGGTCTGTGGGGGTTGTGCAGTTCGATACCATGAAGAACAAGTTTTTGGTAGCTGGTGATGAGTTCAAAGTCAAATTTTGGGATATGGATAGTGTTGAGCTCCTGACTACAACGGATGCAGATGGGGGATTGCCGGTAACAGTCTATTTTGGTCTCAATTACTGTTAGCCTAATTGACCTTAAAAAGAAATGGTTACTAACTAAATATTTTCAGTCTTCCCCTTGCTTAAGGATCAATAGAGATGCCATCTATAAGCCCCGCCCAACGGCCTCGGCACCGATGCTATTTCACGGTTGTGGTGAAAAGAAAAAAAACCGCGAGAGCGGCCTCGCCGCCCCACCCAAAAAATTTTTAAAAACTGCAAACCAAAAAACCCCTGACATGAAACCACCCACCACACCACACACACCCACCCTAAAAAAAAAAAGCTCCTGACTACAACGGATGCAGATGGGGGATTGCCGGTAACAGTCTATTTTGGTCTCAATTACTGTTAGCCTAATTGACCTTAAAAAGAAATGGTTACTAACTAAATATTTTCAGTCTTCCCCTTGCTTAAGGATCAATAGAGATGGGTCTCTGCTGGCTGTCTCAACTACTGATAATGGAATCAAGATATTAGCCAATGCTGAAGGTTCGAGGATTTTGCAATCCATTGCAAACCGTGGCCTTGAAAGCTCTCGAGCTCCTCCTGGGTCAGTTGCAAAGGTAAACACTTGTCATCATATTTTCTTTATTCCGCTCAGCAGAAGAAAAGAAAATTGAATGGATGATTTTGTTCTTAGGGTCCTATTGCTGGGACGTTTGGCACTCCAAGTTCAAACACTGGAATGAGTTTATCAATGGCTGAAAGAAGTGGACCAGTGGCATCTGTTACTGGATTGGTAATCCCTTCTGTGAAATATGTTATTATATTTTGTTCTCTAGTGAAGTTGACAGAGATCAAAGTGTAATTGTTAAGCTCATGCAAACGCCTAAAGGCAAACATTAGTACTTTCCTGAGTCCTGCTAAGTTTATTCTCAATCTTTTGGTTTCAGAATGGAGATCATCGCAGTCTGCCAGATGTCAAACCACGAATTTCCGATGAGGCAGAGAAATCAAAGATCTGGAAACTGACAGAGATCAGCGAACGTTCCCAGCTTCGTACCCTGCGGCTTCCTGACAATCTGCTGCCAGCGAGAGTATGTATCCATTCTTTCTCAAACAAGGATCTGTTGTAGACATTTCCTTCCTATAATTTTAGGCCAGTTTCAATTGCATACCCTTATTGTCTACTCTTCTATAGTAAATTTTCATTTCTAGTGGTGAAAAATGATATTAAAGTAGATCACCACGATAAATGCAGGTTGTGAAGGTAATATATACAAATTCTGGAAGCTCTGTATTGGCATTGGCAGAAAATGCTCTGCATAAACTATTTAAATGGCAAAAGAGTGAGCGGAATCTTTCGGGAAAGGTACAATCAATATCTGTTGTGATAGAACATCTACTGGTGGCTTTAAAAAATATATCTTCTTATATGGTTTTTTGCTTGTTTAGGCAAACAGCAATGTCCCACCACAACTTTGGCAGCCATCTAGTGGAGTAGTAATGACAAATGACACACGCGAGGGGAACAAAGAAGACGTAGTTCCATGCTTTGCACTCTCAAAGAATGATTCTTATGTCATGTCAGCCTCAGGAGGAAAAATATCCTTGTTCAACATGATGACTTTTAAGGTCTCTCCATGTCTGAGTTACGTGTAAGTTATCTGTTGGGCTACAAGCTTCATATTTACTCACTTATATTTCTTTGTTTATTTTACAGACAATGACGACATTCATGGCGCCTCCTCCAGCAGCAACTTCTCTTGCCTTCCATCCTCAAGACAATAACATAATTGCTATTGGAATGGATGACTCGTCGATCCAAATCTACAATGTCAGAGTAGATGAGGTATTCTGACTCAGCTGAAAGTACAAGACTTTTCTTCGTTTGTCATAGAAGCAAATATTTATACAATTTTTGGGTGGTACTGATGCATGCAGGTTAAAAGTAAATTGAAAGGTCATCAGAAGAGAGTGACTGGTTTAGCATTCTCAAACGTTTTAAATGTTCTTGTTTCCTCTGGTGCGGATTCTCAGGTATGCTTATTATATATGGCATTGGCTATATTATATTTCGGATATAGATCTTGCCACTGCTTTCACCTGCGGTATTATCTGTTATTGAAAGTAATTTCTTTAAATCTGTATAGCTGTGTGTATGGAGCATGGATGGATGGGAAAAGCAAGCTAGCAAACAGATACAAATTCCAAGTGGGCATTCGCCAAATCCACTTGCTCATACACGCGTTCATTTCCATCAAGATCAAACACATGTTCTTGTTGTCCATGCAAGCCAGTTAGCCATTTACGACGCTCCTAAACTAGAGAGCATGAAGCAGGTTTGTTGCTACATAGTTTCATCCATGTCTCTAGAACTTTGCATTCATTGTCCTTCAAGGATTGATTGGTTCTTTTTCTTTTAATATAGTGGATACCGAAGGAGTCAAGTGGTTCGGTAACAGATGCTGTATACTCATGTGATAGCCAGTCAATCTACGCAGCCTTTGACGATGGAAGTGTGAGCATCTTGACGGCAACAACATTGCAACTGAAGTGCCGCATTAGTCCCAATTCGTATTTGCCTTCAACCCCGAGGTAAAGACTCTTCTTTATCTCAACTTTTGTCAGAGTTATGAGCATTGGCCAAAGACAGTAACAGTAACATCTGCTCTCTGTTGAACAGCTCGAGAGTATATCCAGCCACCATCGCAGCTCATCCCTCTGAGCCAAACCAATTTGCAGTTGGACTTACCGATGGTGGGGTTCATGTGATCGAACCACCAGGACCAGAAGGGAAGTGGGGAATGTCTCCACAGCCTGAAAACGGTGCAGGACCAAGCGTATCATCAGCACCTGGGTCAGAACAACAGCCGAGGTGAGGTGAGGTCTGGTTCACCAAGCTCTGCACCATGATACAGCCTCCCAAGTCATTATTATGCACTTTGAGAGGAGAGCTCTTCGACTGTAGGTTATATATTATTGGCTTTACTCATTCATAGTAGGTGAAAAGGCGAAACAGTAGATTCTTCCGTTAATTCTAGTGTTTTATTGTTTCTTTGAGATTACTATTATCATAGAGTTTCCCTCCCAACAGTCTCTGTTTATTTAGATTTCAAGGTTTGTAGATAAACGATTTGTTAGCCAGTTATGTTAAGAAAGTCTTAGTGTTCTTGGAGGCACACAAATCACAGAGATCTTTATTAAGTGAAAACATGAGAGATTTTAACGTAGTTGGAGGAAGTCAAGTAAACTCAGACCAAAGCCATTTTAGAAGCTATGGCTTCTTTATTCAGAGTATATTTTAGGTATGAAGTTTATAATATCGGTTAATTATTAAATGGGAAAGCGAATTAAGGAAATCGATCAATGTGTGTATGTTTGTCTAATGTCGTTTTGGCAAAAAGTAATAATAAGTGTGTATAAACTGGATTCCAATTCGGAATAACAAGTACAGAAAGAAAGTGTAAGGCAAAATAACATCGCATTTTTGTAGAAGAAGAGTTTTGTTTTAAGTCATCATTACCTTAGCTGATTCGCATTAAACTTGGAAGTTGGAACATAGTAAGAGAGAGCACACACAAGAGATCGATTCAAAAGAAAGAAAAAAAGGATTTAGAAATAGCCACAAAAGCCCCTAATCTTATTGATGATCATCTTAAAGTTCAGGTTCCTCGTACTCGTAGACATCAACGAGATAAGCGAACATGACAAGTCGATAAGTCATTGTAGAGATTCACCATCTTGACAACGTTGAGGTCTTTACGAACATTCTCTTGGGCATATATCTCCATCACCTTCAAACAAGGGAAAGACTCCAAAAAATGCTTTATCATTCCCGTCTCTCTCTTTGTTCCTTTAAACCCTTTTATCCGTATCTTTTTCACTGGACAAGATTTGAGCGAACGACCTTTGTCCTCCCGAGTAATGCAGTCACAAGCATCCCCACATTTATCTGTCACGTAGTGTTCAAGACCCTGAAAGCAGAAAGGAGAGACAATAAGAACATATTGAGAGAACGATTCTCTCTGACTCGTGGGTAACATTTGGACAAAGGAATAAGTTGTGTTTATTAATATAACTCAAGAACTAGAGTTTCTAAATGTAGACAGTTCCTTAAGAGAACCGGCATTGCTTGCCATCCTCGTTCCTTACTACTCTTAATCTTTAACCATATGAGGTTGTTGAACACCGGCATCAATTCACAGCATACAGAAATCACCTGAAACAAGACAAAACCTATTATGTGATATGTGTTTCAAAGATTCACATTAAGAGGATCTTTGATTCTTGCAAATACTTGGCCTACAAATATTTTACATGGCTTGCTAATACTTAGCAACTGACCTCGAGAGTATCAGAAGATAAGCCAAGTTTCCGAACATTTCTTATGGCACTCATGAGCTTCCACACATTTCCAAATGGTCGAACCTCATCGTCCTCCTCAATATCTAGCCCTCGTATTAGATTCAATTGACATGTCTGTGCTATAATGTTGAGTCGAGCCTCAACCAAATGCTCCAAGTTAAGTTTTGGATAGTCCTCCGAGACAATATCAGAATAGTCAAGGTAAAGCAGACTTGGAGTATCAAAACAAGTGCTCTTTGGATTTTCGAAGCCTAAAGAACCAAAAGCATAGATAGTTAGCTTCTTGAGGCTTGCACTTGACACGGTAACAGCCGTTCCTTTCCGCCTGAGAGTGTCTCTTATGTGCAATTCCTCAAGCAGAGGGGAAGCACGGAGAAGTATCTCGAACTTTTCTGAACAAACCCAACCTCTGTTATTAATTAGAGTCTTAAGCATTGGTAAGAAAGCTCCTTCAACTCCAGGCCACGAATCATTACTATATTTAGTAGTTAATTTCAGGTTGACTAGTGTCCTGCTGCCGAACGTCTCTTGAGGCAGCACATAACGATGATCAAATATGAAAAGTTCAAGGTCCGAGACACCACGATGCAACACATTACATATCCAGCGATTCACACGATCTCTATCAACACCATTTCCGCACTTGAGGGAGAATCTCTTAATGGAAGAATTACACTGCAAAGCCAACACTCTATCCACAAAATCCTCGAAGCTCTGAACAATCCCTTCCCTTTCTCGCTTACCCTCTTCAGGATGAAGAAACATAGTCGTCAAGAACAAGATTAGGGACAAAAGCAAGCAGATTGAGCCACCTCTTTGAGAGAAGCGATGTTAAAGCAGCCTCCTTTGTGGTGAGGAAAGACAATATATGACAAAGAATCTCGTTAGGCAGGCTGCTTACATGATCCATCTTCACAAAAGCCCCTAAGAAATTTAAACATCAATCAGTCAGTACCAAAACCAGACCAATCGATTGATTCAAACATCTTCTCTGCAGTGATGACACAGGTAAATTAACACCAGGATACAGGCAGAGAATGGTTTAAGCTAAAATGGTACACTGAAGTCAAATTCGAGGCAAGTGGAAGCATTGATAAGCTAAAATGGTACAAACGATTGATTCAAAAGAGAGAAAATTTAACAACGAAGAGACTAAATTTTGGAATTTACCTCTTTACAAAATCGTGTAATCGAAGACCCAAAGTTTAGGTATTTCGGTGAATGTGTCCAGTGAGAAGGAGGGGAAAGCTTAGTCAGTAGTTTCTATGGCCTTACAAGCAAATTCAGACGAAGCAAAACCATCGGAGAAGCCGAACGAACAAACAAATTTTAAGAGAGCAAAATAAATGCAGAGTTGGTTCTAATGTTCTATTTTTAACCGATTCTTCAAACTTCTCGGTTTAATTCGGTTAGTGAGGTTGCTTGACTTTGGGCTGCCAAAGTATGCAGCAACATATCGAGGCCCAACTTCACTTTGGACATATGTAATTATGTAAATACATTACTAAAAGAAATCAAAAAAATTGAAAACTAATAGATTTTAAAGTATTTACCGAGATTCAATAATTCTATTAAAATGACTTTAATACTGCAAAAACTGTAAAAATTGAATTTTTGTAAAATTTTCTACAAATTTTATCAAGTTCCTTCCAAATGACAATACCATCAAATACATCAATTACACCGGAATTTAATAGTATTAAAAAACTGATAGGTTAAATAACAACAAATTTTTTAAGAATTGGAAAAACACATACTTGAATAACATAAGAATTTAATGGAATCTCCAATTTCTTTAAATTCCATGGAATTACTGAATCCAATACCAACAACGACTTGACTTACCTACTAATTCCAAGACATTCTCTTCTTTTGAGCATCAGTAGGTAACTTAACGTCAGTGGCCAAACCAATAGCTCCAAGAAACGAAATGAGATACCAAGTAACGTCGAGCTGCCACCACTCGAGTCCATGTCTTGCCGAGAACTCGAACACATGATGATTGTTATGCCATCCCTCGCCAAATGTTATAATCGCTATCCACCTGGTTCGTTACCAATTTATTAAATCTTACTCCTATAGTCCTATTTGATTATTTAGTGAGAAATTATCCTCATATGTATAGATATATATAGACAGTACCAATTGTTTTTGGAGAAGTCAGGTGTGTTCCAAGCTCGTGTTCCCCATATATGGGAAACTGAGTTCACTAGAAATGCGGCGTGGAATCGAAACACAGTTGCCACACCCTGCCATCGCCATTCTCTCATTATTTCACTTTTTACCTTGTATTACGTCTAAGATTGTCTTAAGTCAATTTTATACTAGCCAGATGATTAAACCTGTAGTATTATTATCGAAACTAAGAAAAGGAGTGTTTAAGTATCCTTACAAGTCCCCAGACGAGGAAGGGCATGCCTCCACAGAAATAGAGGAGAAGAGCAAAACCCATCAGATGCAAAAGGATGGTTCGCTGAAGAAACCTATAAAAGGGTTGCCTCACAAGGTCATTTACATTCTCCTCCCCACCACACTGCGTCCATGCGTACGTCCAATGGTTTCGTCAGGATTAAATATCTCAAATTTGGTCTGCCAGATCTGACCTATTGTATATAAATCAAGACCAAATATCGACCGGTCTGCGGGACCAAATTAGTCCACCACAACATCTTTACTCATGCATGTTTGAAGTGTTCCAAAACAATATCAACTTGATAATCTTACCATAGCCATCCAAAAAGTAAATGGGTGTGTAACAATTGATACCTTTTTGAGGATAGAACCGGTATCAAATAACCAAGTCATGTGGCTAAACCAAAACCCTTGTGTAGGGCTGTGTGGGTCACGTTCTGTCTCACAATGCTTATGATGGTACCGATGGTTGCTCACCCACTCTATTGGGTCTCCCTGCACACACACACACACACAATTTACAAGTTACACGCGGCTGAAGATATATTATAATGTTCATACCAATTACCAAATAATTATTTTCAGAATGCCAAACCTGAAAAGCCAAAAAACCACCATAAGCAAAGAGATACTCGAGCCATTTCGGTAGAGCAAAACTTCGGTGAGAAAGATTTCTATGAAAAGACAAGGTGATGCAGAGTCCGGTGCTCGCAAAGAGCCAAATAAAAAGCTTAAAAGCCACCCAATTGAAGTAGAACGGAGCCAAAAGGCTCATCAAATGAACCCCAACGACTACGACTAAATTTCTCACGTCCCTAGAATTCCAACCCCTTTCCCAAAATGCCCTCTTCTTTCTCACCACCACAACCTCCGACAAGGGTATTGTCCAGGAGCTCTCGACCTGATCCGGTGCATGTGCATCATGAACAGCCACGAACGTGTGTTTCTTGTTAGCCACGGATCCTCCTCGTTTGGAGAAAAGGGAGTTTGTAGAGTTGGGTGTCTGATAAGCGAGCAAGACATATGTATTACTATTGCGGTTATGTTGTTTGACAAATGGTGAAAAAGGAGAAAGCGGTTTTAGAGTTGTAGATACAAACGCCATGGATTTAAGTTGGTATAGTTGATGCCTCATGCCTTTACATATGTACCCAATGAGCTAGTATATATGTACACATGACTAAAGTTATTCGCTTACCATATAAAGATTTTTTTTTTATTCTATTATAAATGATGACTCTATCATTTACTATAGGCGAAACTAAACTGTTGTAGCATGTAGAAATGAGAAATCTGTCATTTTTGAATTAAATGTAAAATTATATACAAACCAAGAAGCTTTTTTTAACAGTGAATGCATCATAATGTGTTCATATTACATTGGATAGAAAGGTTGAGGATGTTTCTTCAAGCCTCATTGAGATAATCACACGTTTTAAATGAGTTTTAGCTTTTTAGTTCGTTGAGTTTTAAGTTTCGGTATTTAATGAACACAAAAAAAGGTAGAACAAGTGATCATCTCTAACCTTTCATGCCATATATTATTGTAAATGGTAAGAATATAGAATTAGTATTGGGTTTCTCTCCAACCCTTCATGTTATATATTATGCTATAATTTTTTTCTAACTTATTAATAAGGGATTCTTGCACTTCTAACCCACAATTTGAAGTCAATGGCAAAAGTAACCTGCTATTTTTTTCATTTGGGCTTTACCCAGATTTGTCCAGATAATAACGAAAATGCCATTACTTTTATCTCTTGTGGTCTACGAATGAGGTCTACGTTGTCGACCAAAAGACCAACAGAACCTCATCCTCTACACTTATTCACGAAACTGCCACTCTCATCAATGAACCCAACCACCATTTTCAACTAACTTCAAGCTTTTAATGCTTGATACTAGTAATTGTGATACTCCAAACATAATTGCACATCCCATAAACTCTAACACTATCATTTTCTCCACATTTTCATCCCAAAAACTCTCTAATTCTACTTTTCCATATTTCAAGTTCTTGATTTTCTCAAAATCGGGTTTGTGGCTTTCCTCACCACCCGAACTGTTGTGAAGGCTTAAAGACAAAGTTTCATCCCTCGGCGGCCCTAAAGACGACGGCCAGGTTGTGGTTTACTCCATTTTCGTTTTTTCAGATCTGAGTCGATATCGTAGATCTCAGGGTTAGGTCTATAGGTCAACGCAGAGGTTAGTTTTGCAATTGACTAAGACAAATCTGTGGAGTTAGACCGCGTAGAGAGTTCTACATAATCCCTTTGAAAACAAAAAAAATATCGTAAACCTCAAGCAGAGGTCTATTTTGAAAACAGGTTAGTTTTGCAATTGACCAAGGGAGGGCTTTTTTTTTGAGGTCTACAGATGAGGTCTATTGGTCAAAGAGGTTAGTTTTGCAATTGACTGAAGTTCTGGTTTTTACCTTAGACCTCTTAATGTGGTCTATAACAACTATTTTTAAGCTGACGTCTACGTCAGAGGTCTACATAGGTTTTAGATCTCAGTCTTAGGTCTACCTTAAAAAGTTGGTCAACGCAAAATAATAGGAGGTCTACGATAGTGGTCTACAGGTGGAAAAAAATTTCAAACAATTGCAAAAGTAACCTGTCTGAGGTCTACAGATTTCGTAGACCTACCCCGTAGACCGTATAATTTTTCTAGACTACAGGTTGAGATCTATTTTGTTCGTGAGGTCTACCCAAATTTTTTGGATGAATTGCAAAACTAACCTCTTTTTTTGTAGACCGCATTTGTAGATCTCAAAAAAGTCTTCCCTTGGTCAATTGCAAAACTAACCTTTTTTAGACCTCTTTGCTAGGTTTACGCCTACGTTCTAGTTTGGAGGTCTACGATTTTTCCGTTTTTTAAAATCGATTTTCTGCGAAAACTAAAATTGTTTTTGTTAATATTTTTTCATAAATACTTCTATTAGCCTAATAACTTGTCCATATGAGAGTTTTGCATGCTAATGTTATGTAATGAAGGTTGTATTAGATTTTTGGTTAAATTTGGTAACTTGGTTAAACTCTGTAGACCGCAGCCGTGTGTGGAGGTCTAAGGTTTCCGTCTACAGGGCATCCATCAATATATATTAATGTGTTTTCCCTTTGGTTTTCATGCAGATCATGGTTTGTTTGGCATCCGTGTATGGAGCGTGGACTATCAGAGACAGAAAATGGTATTTTGAGGTTGATAAAACGAGAGGAGGTAGAATGTTCTACCTGCAGGATGATTGTAAACATGAAGAGCTGGTTGAAATGGTTGTGAACGACTACATGTTGCAAGTTAGTGGCGAGCTGCTGGAGTTGTCATATCCATTACCAGCTGCTATGATGGAGAAATTGCCAACGGATTCACCTCCTATGTATGTGACGAACGACAGACAAGTTGGGAGCTTGGTGGAGTTATGTAAGGAGCATGTGGTCCGTCTTTGCGTCTCGACCCGCGTTGGTATGGGAAGGAACTACAACGAACCAATACATGAGTGTGTCCAAGAATAAAAGTCTGAAGAGGTGGATAAAGAACACGTGGAAGAAGAATTCGGTGATGAAGGCTGGGATGATAACGACTTTGATGATGTAAACTGGAATGACAAAGCATGAGATGTAAATTCAGAAGATGAATCTTGCGACTGACGGCTGTGATGGCAAGATTCACATTTAAAGTCTACAAGTCCACTACGGAGTTGTTTGTGGCAAAATGTGTTGTCAATGGATGTGCATGGAAGTTGAGAGCAGCTGTGAAGAATGAACCGGATTGCTTCTGGGTTACCAAGTACGTAAAGGGTCACACTTGTTCAATTATGGACCGTGTAGCTCACCGTAGACGAGCTACTCCAAGATATATTGGACAATTGTTTGTGGAGCGGACTGGACTCATAGATGGAATTGTCCCTCGACAAATTGCAGATTCGATGAGGATCATGTTTGGCTTGAATCTTACCTATACAACGTCATACCGGGCTCTCAAATTCGCTCAAGTATTTGTCAGGGGAACTCCAAAGTATACAACTGCTCCAAATGCAAGCAACCAGAACATACTCGCCCGTACTGTGTAAGCTTTGTGCGTCTCGCAGTTCCATTAGTTTTCATTACAACAATGCTATAATTGTTTGCTCTTCATTAGGTGTCCAAGCCTGCTCAGAAATAAGGTCGGAGGTCTACAAGGAGTTCCCGGATGACTACGAAGCATTCACGCGCAGTCTACTATTTATTTCGTGGAGGTCTATGAGACGTCTACAACTATATCCATTAAATTTTATTTTCATATCATCAGTTACAATGAGTGAATGACGTCTACCTTTTTTCTACATGAAGTTAAGTAATACTAAAGACAGATTTCATTAATAACTGCGTTTCAGTTTGTGTTGCATCCAAAATAGTTATACAAAATCAGTGTTGTGAAGAGGGGCCAAAAAAAAGATAAACCCTCCTCCCCGGCTAAACGTTCCGGTGAGTTTACAGAAATCATTCCGTTAAAACACACTTTGTTTCCTTTATGACAATGTTTTTACATAATTTAGAAGCATTTTGACATTAAAAAACTATGGCCATGAACGCTTCTCGACATTTCCAAGAACGTGATTCCAACATCTTGTCTCGACTCTGATCCAACATTTTTTCTTGAGGTATGTTCTGCGTGAGGGATATTCTTCACCTGAAAACCAAAATAGTAAATCTTGTGAAACACTATACTAGAGTAATCAATCTTTTGCTAAGTCTGTTACTCATGAACTCACCGCCATACAAAAGATTCTCCAAACTTCCATTACTCATGAACATTCATTTGAAAATCAAAAATCAAGGGTATCAAAATCAAGGGTATGAACATTCATATTCATAACACAGACGTTCAGAGTTTCACTTCCATATATATGAGTATAAAAAATCAAAAATACGATTTAAATACAACAACAAATCTATGATAAGTAACTGAATGTTTGTGTACCATGTGTAAGAAGAAACTATAAGAGTTCTGCAAACGCTCAAGGATTAGTTACCTTTATTAACTAGTTTATTGAGCTTCATTGTCTTCTTTACGCTAAATTTTCTTTGGGATTTCTTCGAGTCTTCTGTTGCAGCTGAGACCAAAAAGAAGAGATCAGCTTCTATTAATGCAAACCATAGTACAAGTCACAAGAGCAAAATGAATCTGAACAGGCCATTGTAATGAATAATACGCAAAACAATATACAAAAGAGGGCATATCAATTAGACAAGAGAAGACACAGAACAAAAAGAAAACATTCTATAAATATGCTAACAGGGAAAGGCACAATGTTTTCACAAGAGTTATGAGCAGAAAACTAAGCAAGAAGAACAATTCCAAGAAGATATTATAAAGTTACAGCTCAAACTGATTATATTTCTGAGTACTAAAAGTTTATTTCTAGCTGATATTAGATTTATAATCACAGAATTAGGTAAGTCGAAGTATCAATTAGCAGAGCAGAAGCTGAGGATGAAAATTTACCTTCAGCAGAAGCCATCTCGACATCCTCCATGGTAACAAGACCCTTCTCCACCATCTCTTTCTGCTCCTGTTTTCAATCAACAAACATTTTTATTAGGACTTATAGCTATGTTTCTGCTCTTGTTCTATCAGCTTTCGCCTCTCTTACACTATATTTATAAGAAGAAAAAAAGAAACAACTTTGAGATTTCAATATCAGTGTGAGCAAAATTATTAAATCTAAAAAGAAAATACGTGTGTGAAAGATGTAATTCAACCAGAAAACAAAAGTAATAGCAAAGCAAAAGAGCAGAGATGATGAAAGAGAGAAATTTAGATAACTCACAAAGTTATAAGTGATAAACAAGCGGTCACGCCTCTTACAATTTCAGGCTCTTTTTCGGTGATGAATACAAATCAGCCTCATGCATCTGCGGATGTACTTCTCCCCTAGGTCATTGAAACGCATCAACGAACGGATTCAAAGCCTGCTTGGAAAATAATCTAACATGTTATTGTTCAAATCTAAACTCAGATCTGTTACAGAGAGAAGAACATGGTTTACCGGTGACAATGGTGATGGAAACTGACTCGACGCGAAGACGGCACTGGATGCGGCAACGACGGAGGTGGATGCGGCGGAAACTGCACGGAGATGGAGGAAGAAGAAGAAAATAAGAAAGTGGCGACATTTCACAGCGAGAGAGCGCGCCGTTTGATGAGAGAACGAGAACGAGATGGTGACGGCGAGAACGAGAAGGCAAAGGCGAGAGGGAAGCGAGATAGTGAGTTTGAGGTTCGAGAGGGAAGCGAGAAAGGAGAGAGAGAGAGCGCCGTCTGAAGAAAGAGGCTTTTTTCTTTTTCTAACAAAACCTAGGGTTTTTTTTCTTTTATAGGAGAAGATAAATTTCCCGGTTTAATTAGAAAATTTCGGATAACCGAACTTTCTTTTTCGGTTTAGCTAAAAGATTTAGCTTAAACCATAATTTGCTAAGGTCTACGAATGTAATCTACAAACGTGGTTTACGAGTGTGGTTTACAAATGCGATCTACAACTGCGGTCTAACTAAATTAGGGAATTTGGTTCCCGCTCATTCGGATTTCAAATTTTGGAATTCCCGCAAATTTAATTACTAAACCATTCCGGTTTATTTCAATTTCATCTTCTTGTGCGGTCTACAGATGAGGTCTACAAAACCCTAAACTACAAATTTTCTGAAAAAACATGAACCGAATATCAATTTTGTTTGTCATTTACAATATTTATGGTTAAGATAACAAAAATATTAAATATACGTAAAAAAAACCAACCAAAAACAAAAATTCAAATTGAAACTATCTAAACCCTAAGAATTGGACAACTAAACCCTAAACTATCTATCCAAACTCTTATCAATTTGAAACATTTACTCATGACATTTATAGATTGATTCATTTTTCGTATGATTTATTTTTAATAATGTCAAATGTATAAGAATTAATTATGCATACAAGTTTTTAATCAAATTATTTTTTATCAATTTTATAATTTATTTTTAAGATTTCATTTTCCTGTAGACCTCGTTGCTAGACCTCTCACGGTTTTACAAGTTTCTAACCTAATTTGTTTTTGTCAACCTAAATTCACTTATTAACATGTATGTTTATTTTATATGGACTCTAATTGTCTTTGTCTTGTTTATGAATACAAATTTTTCATCTAAATATTTTCTATTTATTTTATAAATTAAAAGTTTCATTTAATTAAACCGTAGACCTCATACGTTTTTACAGCTTTCCAAACTAATTTGCCTATGTTAGTTTAATTTGACTCATTTGTATGCAATTATAATTTTCCAAGATGCAAATTACTATTTATGATTTATGTATGCAAATGGTTTCATCAAAATGTTTTTTTTGTTTTTCCCAATTAAAATATAAAATTAAAATACAAGGTAGACCGACTATAAAAGTCTATATGTAGACAGCAAGCGTAGACCTACGCTCCGGGTTAATTTGGTAATCGCGGCAAATTTTTTTTGTTTGTTCATGAGGGTGACCTTTGTAATTTCGCTACCCAAACAGGTTAGTTTTGCAATACTTTCAAGTTTCGGGTTATGGTTATAGAAAAAAGCAAATTTCGGGTTATATGTGGAAATTCTCCCTATTAATAATTGTTAAAACTACTTGATTTCTTCAAATTTTACAAGGTGAATCATTTGTTTTTCTTTTCCTGCAAAAAGAACCAGAATTATATTTTTTATTTTTTATTATTATTGTAATATCAAAACAAAATACATCATATTACATAAAAATATAGAAAGAAAGATTTTAACCTATTGTTTTATGTTTTTTGAATTTCAGTATTTTTAAAAATAAAATTTTAAGTTTATTATGGTTATGTTTTTATATTTCTATGAAATAAATATTATTTATATTTTGAAAAAGTTATGAGTATTGTTTATTTATTTAAATAAATCATAATCAATATAATTAAACTGTTAAATTAAAAGTAATTACAAATTGAAGGACTATTTTATAAATAAAAAAGTTCAATAGCAAAATAGCATATTGCATTATCTCATGCCAAATATAGAAGCAAAAATAGCATAATACTATTTTGCAATAGCATATGCAATTAGGTTGAAGCAAAAATTATGGTAAAATAGCATATATGTCATATTTAGCATGGGGTTGGAAATGCTCTAATACCTTCACAAGCGTTAGGAAGTGCAATTCGTACGCAAGTAATGGAGGAGAGGGTCAGAGGGTGAAAGGAGTGAAAGAAGATCCAACTAACTATTCACTCACAACCTGCCAAAATGTAAGTCTCTAGCCAGGGAATAAAGCTCTCCCAGTAAGTACTTGCTCATCAAATTGGCTATAGCTAGCTACCTACGTTAAATGTTTTCTTTCCACAAATTTCCTAATTTTCTTTTTGCAAAACCTAGCTCCATTTGAATCCATGCCACTTTCAATAATACTAAACTGATTATAAATATCATCCATATAAAAAAAAAAAAAAAAACGAAATCAGTTTACCATCAGAATAGTTGTTTGAGAATAACTGGAAAAAAAAGAAAGTTGGACTAAAAATAGAAAGTGCGATTTGAAACTTGTGTTCTTCCATTAAGACAACATCCATCCAAACTTGATAATTATTTTGCGTACATAACCGAAAGTAACCGTCTAGAACTTCCAAGAAACTGAAAATAAAACTGCCGTTGACTTTGTAGACACTTATAACACTTGGGAATGAACAATATAATCAACCAAAAAACTAATTATAAGCCATTCTCTTCTTCTGAGCTTCAGTAGGTAACTTAACGTTAGTGGCCAAACCAATAGCTTCAAGAAACCAAATGAGATACCAAGTAACGTCGATCTGCCACCACTCGAGTCCATGCCTTGCGGAGAACTCGAACGCATGATGATTGTTATGCCATCCCTCGCCAAGTGTTATAATCGCTGCCCACCTGATTAAATTCATTACCAATTTATTAATTTATACTATATTGATTTAGTGAGATTAATATTAGTGTAGTACCAATTGTTTTTGGAGAAGTCAGGTGTGTTCCAAGCTCGTGCTCCCCATATATGGCAAACTGAATTCACTAGAAATGTCCCGTGGAGTCGAACTGTAGTTGCCACACCCTGCCATTTCCAAATTTCTCATAATTTAATTAAACTCTTCCTCTGCAATTTTCTTTTTATTAAGATAAAATGTTCTCATGCGGGTTTTATTGAAAAATCGAGTGTGGTCCGCAAACTGACTTGTCCTATCCTCTTAGGACCGTTTTAGTGACACTATACTACTAGTCAAGTTTATAATCAAAAGTAACAGTATGAAGTGAAATTAATTAAGAAAAGGACTAGTGTGATGTATCCTTACAAGTCCCCAGACGAGGAAGGGCATGCCCCCACAGAAATAGAGGAGAAGAGCAAAACCCATCAGATGCAAAAGGATGGTTCGCTGAAGAAACCTATAAAAGGGTTGCCTCACAAGGTCATTTACATTCTCCTCTCCACCACACTGCGTGTATGCATGCATCCAACTTGGACATCAATAAATTAATTGGTTTATTTGTTTTTTTTTTAATGATGATTTTTAATACCTTTTTGAGGATAGAACCGGTATCAAATATCCAAGTCATGTGACTAAACCAAAACCCTTGTGTAGGGCTGTGTGGATCACGTTCTGTCTCACAATGCTTATGATGGTACCGATGGTTGCTCACCCACTCTATTGGGTCTCCCTACACACACACACAATTTACAAGTTACGCGAAGCTGAAGATATATTATAATGTTCATACAAAAGAATCATCTTCAGAATGCCAAACCTGAATAGCCAAAGAACCACCATAAGCAAAGAGATACTCTAGCCATTTCGGTATATCAAAACTTCGGTGAGAAAGATTTCTATGAAAAGACAAGCTGATGCAGAGTCCGCTCACCCAAAAGAGCCAAAGGAAAAGCTTAAAAGCCACCCAATTGAAGTAGAACGGAGCCGAGAGGCTCATCAAATGAACCCCTACGACTATGACTAAATTTCTGACGTCCCTAGAATTCCAACCCCTTTCCCAAAATGCCCTCTTATTTCTCACCACCACAACCTCCGACAAGGGTATTGTCCAGGAGCTCTGAACCTGATCCGGTGCACCATGAACAGCCACGGACGTGTGTTTCTTGTGAGCCACGGATCCTCCTCGTTTGGAGAAAAGGGAGTTTGTAGAGTTGGGTGTCTGATAAGCGAGCAAGGCATGAGTATTACTATTGGGATTATGTTGTTTGACAAATGGTGAAAAAGGAGAAAGCGGTTGTAGAGTTGTAGATACAAACGCCATGGGTTTAGGTTGGTATAGTTGATGCCTCATGCCTTGACATACATACCCAATGAGCTAGTATATGTACACATGACTCAAGTTATTCGTTTACCATATAAAGATATTTGTATTTTTTTATTCTATTATAAATGATGACTCTATCAATTACTACAAGCGAAACTAAATTGTTGTAGCATGTAGAAATGAGAAATCTGTCATTTCTGAATTAAATGTAAAATTATATACAAACCAAGAAGCTTTTTTTAGAGTGAATGCATCAGAATGTGTTCATATTACATTGGATAGAAAGTTTGAGGATGTTTCTTCAAGCTTCATATAAATGATTCTATCATATACGACAAGCGAGTGTAATTAATTTATCCTTTGGCTGTTAACAATTCGCATTTTCGCAGTAAAAACAAAAACGAAAAAAGAACGGTTGTGATGATCATATTCACACGTTTGACTCTCGTATAGTACAAATGAGTTTTAGCCTTTTAATTTGGTAGAGATTTAAGTTTTGGCACTTAATGAACACAAAAAAAGGGTACAATTACAAGTGATCGATAATACCTTCACAAGCGTTAGGAAGTGCTATTCGTACGCAAATAATGGAGGAGAGGGTCAGAGGGAGCAAGTAGGTGAAAGAAGATCCAACTAACTATTCACTCACAACCTGCCAAAATGTAAATATCGAAAACTCTAAGTCTCTAGCCAGTGAACAAAGCTCTCCCCAGTCCCCAGTAAGTACTTGCTCATGAAATAGGCTATAGCATACGTTAAATGTTTTTGGTCCACGAGTTTCCCAAATGTTTTTTGCAAAACCTAGCTCCATTTGAATCCATGCCACTTTCAATAATACTAAACTGAAAATAAATATCATCCATATCCATTTAGTGGTGCGTGTTTGACAACAAAGTTTTGTTAGACCCAGACAACATATTCCACCGGAATTATGACAAAATTAAAACCGTTTCTTAAATCTTCATTTTTAGCATATGTAACCTGTTTTTCTGACTAAATAAAACCGTTTGTTTGCTTTTTATTTTAGAAAATAAGAGAAATAACAGCTTCGGTTTCTAAGTATGCCATGATACTTAACATATATTTGTGAGGGAGAGACTAACAAACGATCGAGAGAACACACAAAAAAAACAAAGAATGGATCTCAACAACAACGTCATCAAAATCCTAGCTCGATGGTGTCTTCTTCTGCAAGCCATCATGATCTCTTCCAAAACCTTGGCGCTCACGGAACCAGACTACGTGAACATGAGCATAACAATTCGAAACGAAATGACCGGACTTAAGCGCCCCGAAATCGTCTATCGATGCCAATCTAAACGCAAAGACTACGGCTGGCATCGATCTCCAAAGCCAGGATTCCAGTTCTCATTCCCAATCATCCTCATAAAAGGCGAAAGCAAGATACCGGCGATCCACGTCTGCTTTTTCCGATCCGCCTTAGGATCAGCCACGCTCGTGGTTGAAAACACATATCTTGACGCCGAGATGTGCCCTAAATCTTCATGCGCCCACGTAGCAACACCCAAAGGGATCATGTTTAGAGGCCTTGAATGGGATTTCAAAACCGTATTTCCAACACTCAAACCGGTCGAGTATCTAGAATTGCCATGGACACCTTGGCCACACGTAACATGAATTATTCTTTTCTTTCTTTCTTTTTTTTTTTGTATGGAATGTAATTATAGATATATATCAAATTCATAATCAGTTTGTCACTTATACAATGTCTTGCACAGAATATATATACCTTTTATGTAAAACCAACAACAAACAAAAAAAGTACAAAAACCCTTTTGATAGCTCCAAATCGCACAGTTCTGATTCCGGACATAACCAAATTTCTTGATCAGTCGGTGGTCAATGCCATTCGTTGTTTCTGAGCTTCTGAAGGCAGCTTAACATCGGTTGCTAAACCGATGGCTTGGAGGAATCTAACGACGTACCAAGTCATATCAAGTTGCCACCATTCTAGGCCGTGTCGAGCTGAGAACTCGAAAGCATGATGATTGTTGTGCCATCCTTCCCCAAATGCTAGAGCTGCTACCCACCTGAAATATCGATCATAATCCCAAGTTTCTTTAAGTACATAGATTTATTTATATATAAATATAATTTCTCAATGAATGAGTTTCTTTACCAATTGTTCCTAGACAAATCACCGGTGTTCCATGCTTGTTTGCCCCAAACATGACAAGCTGAGTTCACTAGCCAAGTTATATGATACACCCACACTATTCTAACACCCTGCAAATACATTAAAAAATAAATTAGAGACGTAATAGTCGGAAAATTTAAGTTTCTTGTGCCTTTTATCCTACTTTCGTGCCGTTTACGAATTTGCTTAAATTGTCAATGTAATATCGCTTTTTAGCATGCAAAATGTTGTCTTATTTCTAAACACAACCAAATCGAATTTAGTCTCCAAGTTCACGAGAAAAGCATGAGCCATATATCTTCTTTCTTACAAGAAAGAAAAGATATTTACTTATTATGAGTTCTGGCTTCTCAACTAACACAACTTACGTGGCCTAAGATCAATAAATCCGAATTGCACTAAATGACAAGAAAACGGAAGTGAGGAGATTTGGACCAGAAAAATTGATAGCCACAAAAAACGCAACTGGTGGATTTATCTTGTTTTTGGAGCTAAAACACATCGTAACCCTCTATAGCCAAATCTGGAAATCTAACACTGATAGATTCAACATGCAATATTCAAAAAACAGAACATACCATTCCCCAGACGATGAAGGGGAAGCCACCCATTGCGTATAGAGCAACCGCTAGAGCCACCGGATGCCAAATGTAAGTGTCTCGCATGAACTGATAGAATGGCTGCTTCTCCAAATCCCCAACATTATTCGGCTCTCCAACCTTCAAACAATCAAAAATACAAAACACAGAGTATTTTTAAGTTAATGAAAACAAAAAGAGAAACACTTTATTCAGACAATGAGAAAGCAAAAAGAACGAAACTTTTTACCCTTTTGGTGATTGTATTGGTATCAAACATCCAATTCATATGACTGAACCAAAACCCATCAAGTGGGCTATGAGGATCTCTGTCCGAATCACAGTACTGATGATGGTACCTATGCGTACTCACCCAATCAATTGGGTTCCCCTGAAGAAACATCAATTCCCACAATTCAACATTCCAATAGAGACACAAACTACATTACCAACAATTGTGTAATGACTCACCTGAAGAGCTTGAGCTCCGCAATAAGCGAACAAGTACTCAAGCCATTTGGGAAGCTTGAAGCTTTTGTGAGAGAGGTTCCTATGGAAAGACAGAGTAATGCCCAGAAGACCTGTGACGATGTAAAGCCCAAAAGCAACCGAAACAGCTCTCCAATTGAATTGAAACGGAGCCAATAAGCTAAGCAAATGCATCGACAAAACCACAGCAACAGCTCCGAAATCCATCGGCTTCCATTGTCTCTCCCATAGAGGCACCTTATCCTTCTTCTTCACCATCACATCGGAGAGCATTATCCTCCTGTAGTCTCCCGACTCCGCAGGCGCCGCCTCCGCCGCTGCAGCTGCCGTGACATCCCTCTTTTCAGAGAATGCTGCCGGTACGAGGCTCAGAGGTCTGAAAGGAGCGAGCTTTTGGTGGTGGTTGAATGAAACTCTGGCGAAATTCAACGACGGTGATGTGTTTAGAGCTCGTGATGAACAAGAGAAGGAAACGGGCTTGGGCTTTGTTAGAGGAGAGGTCAAAAGAGAAGCCATTGTCGATGTGATAGGTAGGAGAAGAAGAGTAGAAGAGACTTAAACCCTTAATTGTATATATACATACATATATTATTCTTTATATATGTATGCGTGTATTAATCAGAGTCGGTCTTTTTTGTATGCTCACGAAGCAGTGGTTGTAATGACAGTGACGTGAAAGATCGAAACTTTGTGGTTCACGGACTCTTTTGCGGCTGAACAGAGAGCGAAAAGAGAAGATAAGATGGTCTAAGGGATTTGGGGATTTGGATTGCCAATTTGGGGCAGTGAACTAAACCGCGGATCTTCTCTTCAAAGTTTTTGTTTTATTTACTCGAAAGCCATTCTTGTTCTTGAAAACTTCCAAATCGCCCCCAATTCTGAGTTTCCAAAGTTGGGCTTAGATCGGTTATCCTAAAATGGGCTTATTTTTGTTTTGGCCCATTCTTCATTATCCGTTCAAGAAAATCTCAAGAGTGAAAGGGAAATGTTGAAATGTTACCTTACAATTCAAACAAGATTTTTCTCTCTTTGATAACTAAAGTCTTTGTTTGTATCTGTATAGGGAGATATTTGTATTTGTGGTGCCAAAAAACCCTTATCTTGAAACCATATATCAATTACTTCCCATATTTTGCTTCTTCCTTCATCCATCTAGAGAAAAAGCTTCTCATCGGATCGGTTTCCATGGCTGCAGCTGCTAACACCGCCGCTATTTTCGCCTCTCCTTCGCAGCCTCTATCCTCTAAAACCAGTTTTTGTAAGTATTTTTCACTCAACACTCCTTACTCTTTAATTTGATGTTAACTTATATGTGTGGTATATGCTTTAATGTAACTGTAAAATTGATGAAGCTTTTGAAATTATACAGTTTACAGTTCAACGATTGGTACAATACAAAGGAGATTTCCAAGGAGGAAACTTGATCTGCAAGTAAAAGCTGTTGCCACGACTCTTACACCCCGTGAAGAGACCAAAGAGTCTGTACTTTATTAGCTTCTCTTGTTACTTTGGTCGATACAGTTACATGAGTATAGTTAACATAGTTCATAGTTGATTAATTTGTGTAGATACGAGCTTCCTTCATGGGCAATGTTCGAGATGGGGACAGCTCCTGTGTACTGGAAAACCATGAACGGTCTTCCTCCAACCGCTGTAAGTTTCTCCAGCCATTTTCTAATGCTAATCAAGCTTAAAGTCAAGGCTCAAACTTCTTACATAAAAATATTTTTTAATTAGGGTGAAAAGTTAAAACTTTTCTATAATCCAGCTGCAACGAATCTCACGCCTAATGAGGACTATGGGGTTGCTTTCAACGGTGAGTTTCTCATGAAACACCTAATTAACTTGTATTCGAGGTTTGTCACACTATGAGTACTTGTTTTCGTATAAGTTTAAATAGAAATAAAATCCTACTAATTGGAAGCTTAAATATACCACTATATATATTGATCATGGTCTAACAAAAACAAATTATTCAATTGGTTTCTAATGATGCAGGAGGATTTAATCAACCAATCATGTGTGGTGGAGAACCAAGATCAATGCTTAAGAAAGATCGAGGCAAAGCCGATTCTCCCATTTACACTATGCAGATTTGCATTCCTAAGCATGGTCCGTTTTTACAAAGTTAAAACTAAAGCATTAATATGTGATAATTTAGTATTATTTGACATTTTGATGGCGTCGTGTGAATCATTTTCAGCTGTGAATTTGATATTCTCGTTTACAAATGGCGTCGATTGGGACGGTCCATACAAACTTCAGTTTCAAGTCCCCAAGCGATGGCAAAACAAACCTATCGAGTTCTTCAATGAAGTATGTAGTGAAATTTCTTTTCCATTTAAAATTGATTACTACAGTCATCTATATACAATAGAAACTCTATAAATTAATAATGTCGGGACTTTGATATTTTATTAATTTATAGAGTTATTAATATATAGATTTTGACTAAAAATATTTTCCAAAAAAAAGAATCATTATTAAATCAGAAGTTTCCTTTATACGTATATTTTCTTAACTATTTTCATATTTCTATATTTACTTTATTGTTTACATTTTCTCATACTTGCCATATTATTTAAATTCTTTTTTGCTTTTAATTTCCATATATGTTTTAGTGTGAGAGATTCATATTTTAGTAGTTAGATATTTTAGGTGTATATATATATATAAATAAAAATAATTATTAATTTATGATATTATTGGGACCATATTTTACATAGGATTTCAAAAAAAGTTATTATCTTATTATCTTATCGAATTGTGTCATATTTTACACCGGCCCAACTCGGGACCAGAGAAATTTATTAATTTATCGTGTTTATTAATTTATCGAGTATTAATTTATAGAGTTTCTACTGTATGCAGTATCCACAAGCACGACTTATTTATTATTTGTATGTTTATCAATTGGTGCAAAAAAAGGGTCTAGCGACAGAGTTGAGCCAAGATGGAGCCTGCGAGAGAGCAATATTTCCTGACTCGAACGTAGTTGCGACGCGGTGCACAATGATCGCCAACTTGACGGTGGAAGGAGTACGTATCTCATCAACTATGTTTATTCAAAATCATTTTGTTAGATATATTTAAGTTTTTTTTTTTAAATGAATAAATTTCAGGGAGATAGATGCAATCTGGATCTGGTTCCTGGGTGCATGGATACAAATTCGGAACATTTCAACCCGTTTGCTAATGTTGATGATGGCTCTTGTCCCCTCGACTTATCTGATTCTGATGAATAGAGCTAGTATTTTTTCCATGTAAATATATAAACCCATAAATATGTATACATGTGGTATAACTGAATATAATAAATGTCGTTTTTATTATATAAGAAGGCTTCACAATCAAAACATCTGAATTTTTTAAGCCGCCGAACATTGTAAAAGGTTTACTTGTTGATCTATTTATTAGTTGAACTAACAAGTGTAACGATTATAGTTATATTAGACAACTTTCACACACAAAAATAAAATAATAATAACAAATTCCTTATGATCTATTGCTTTCCCCTGAGACCAAACTAGTATATGATCTATTGCTTTCCCCTGAGACCAAACTAGTAACGATCATGGATCAGTGTACCTGTCCCGTTAACTTATACGAAACCCATCTTCACCTACCAATTAATGGAAAATAAAACACATGTTGCACCCCAAAAAAAAAAAAAACAAAAACAAAAAGTGGTGAAGAAGTACATACAAAATTTAATGGCCGGGTTTTTGGTTTCTGTAGATTTAGGTTCTGGTCGATTGGCAATTTACGCAATACCAAAATGGTCGAATGATTTTGCAATTTTGAATTCTTTTGTAATCGTATCAGAATGTTATAGAGTCACCACTTACGTTAACTTAATGACATCAAATTTATATGGTAGATGTTTTTACTCATTTTACAACTCGTAACATTTAATTGAATGAAAACCATAAGAAACTCCTATGGTTAACTTCATAATAACGTACACATTTAGTCAGGTTCAACCGACCGCATTGAATTACAATCATCTGAATGAAAATAAATTTAGTTCATTTAGACATCGGCTAAATTAAATATGTTCATGTTCAACTAAACATTTGTAAGAAAAAAGACAAAAAAAATTAATTGACTAGCGAGTCTTTAGAAATCAAACTAAAACCATTGACTAAATTGTGTTTCTTGCTCATCATCTCTTCGTACTTCCCGGCCAATAAATCAAAGAGAATCCCAGCGCCAACTCCAACAGCGAGATCGATCGTGTAGTGTCCTCTCGTCCCGAGCAGCCTGATCGATTGTAACACATTGAGTACGTCAAAAAGCATCGCTAGTCTCAACCTCTGATTTCTCCTCATGTCCAAGGCTGCGATCATCGATCCCGCGACGTGACCCGAGTAGAAGAGGAAGAATGACACGTTTCCCACCGGAAAATCGACTCCCGATCCTAAAAACTCCTGTAAAAAAACAAAACTTATAATAATTAGTCACATTCAATCATTTTTTTCTTGATGATGTTAATAGTATAACAAGACGAGACATATAATAAATCCGTGTATCCATGTTAAATCACGAAAAAGAAAAAGTGAAAAAAAAAAGGAGTGACTAGAATCGTAGAACGTGACTGAGTGAGAGAACCTGTGAATTGTGATTATGTCCAGTCAGTCAATCAAGTCGTGGAACATTATCACGAAAGATGGGAAAAAGTTCGGTAACATAAATAGTGTTGCCTAATTATGATCATAATAATTAAACTAAATCCCACGAGTTAAAGAAATGGATACAATCCACACTAGTAGTTACTCCTTTCATTTCAGAAAAAAATATGGTTCTTTATACTTGTTCTTTTTCAAAATAAGTGTTCTTTTAGGATATCAATATAAATTTTGATAGCAGGAATCGTCAAAAAAAGGAACATAACAAATTCAAAATGAATTGTCTACTGAAATAATACTATTTTTTAGTGAGACTCAAAACATTTGGGAACTATAAAGTATAAACTGATTTCCTATACGGTAGTGGCCAAGAAAAAATCACACGTCCAACAATGTTTTGGGAGTTAACATAAGTAAATGTCTAAAATAACTATTATAATGCTACTATATTTCTATTTTTTCAGAGAAAAAAAAAGAGAGAAATATGTGGGATTGGGACCTGAGGGAGAGGGAGCTGAGTGGAGTAGCCGAGAATGCCGCGACAAGTGAACATGAAGCAAGCGGCGATTGTGGGTCGAGATCGTCCTTCCATCAACCATGCCCACACAATATACGTCGTTTGCATCACTACGAACACCTGTCCCCACCATCCACCAAAATTATTTTAAATAGTTATAAAGTACAAAAATCGAATCTAATTAAATTAACCAATCTCTTTTTTAATATTGCCATGTGATCGTGTCCCCAACTCATCACCATGTGTCCCTTTTTGTTGGGTTTGAAAAAGTTTAAAGCGATCAATAATATTATTATTACTCCAAACTTCTCTCTAGCCTCTCTACTCGTTATATAAACAAACAAAACAAAATTGGCAGTTGGTTAAAAAGAAGGCTGGCAACTAATCAAGTGATTACATTAAATACACTTTTTGTCCACTAAAATTATCTGCTAACACCATTTCAATAGTATTGTTCTTTTTGCCATTTTCTCACCCGATTATGACATTTAATTGCATCTTACCGCTCAACCATCGACAGCAAAATTCCAGCTGGATAATAAAGGAGAACATAAAGGAAAAAAATCTGAGGTTTGTTTTTCATTACTACCCCCACTTGTTTAATTTGACTATTATTTTATTAGGATTTTAAAATGACAAAGAAAAAAACAAAAGATTAGGTGAGGCACGAGGAATTGAGGGATAATCATTTAATTATGTTTTTCTTTTTTTAACCCTAAAGCTTAATTGTTACGACATACCGTGTTTAGAGCCGCTAATACGGTGTTAAGATCCGGCGATGACGCCAAGACGCGATTCAGAGAGCGCGTGGCCACGAACCCGATATCGAATGGCTCAGAGCGCGATGGAATCATCTGGAGCGTGTACTCCACGCCCGTGAAAAACACAACCCCGACGGCGAACAGACACGGTATCCAATGCTGTCTCGCCACGTTCACGGCGTCACGCGCCGTCCACGTCGTGCACGACGCATTGCTTCTACCTCCGTTGACGTAGCCGTCGTCGGTTTTCTTTCCATTGATCTCCATTTGGCTGTTTATTAATCCGTTGGTTTTGTCAACGCCGCTGACGCCGTTTGTGTGGTGTCCGTTAAGAGGACTGGATCTGCGACGGAGAGGGACGTCGGTTTTAGTTGACATGGCCGTTAGATTTAACGGAGAGAGACATTTCTGGGGTTTAGAGAGACGGCTTATATAAGATTACGAGGGCGGAGATTCCGAAGGAAGATTTTCTAATTTTTTTTTGGGACTGTAGAAGGAAGATTGTTTGGGCTACAAAAACTCATACGAAAACGATGAATATGAGGTTAGAGAGCGACATTAAGCTTATTTTACGCTTAAGTCTCTTTTATTTTTTTCTCTTTGTTGGGCTTTACTTTGTGTACCGACATGTTGTTCTTTTTATATGACAAAAGAAAAAGATAAGAGAAGTGTATGAGATTCTCATTACTATAAGAACTTAATTTATCACATAAATACACATTGGTGGTATATGTACTTATTAATTGTATGCATATCCTAATTGTAGATTATGGAGAATAACAAAAGGTCAAATTTGGTGCTTAGTTAAAGACACTACTAATTTATTACATTAAGGATTGTATTGGTTGTCTTAAAATACCTACACTTACTTTGGATTTGATTCTTTGTATTTTTAAATTAAAAACACTTCAAAATCCACTGAAATCTACTCCCTCCATCTCAAATTAGTTGTCATTCTGGCAAAATATATCTGCAATTTTTTGGATGTATTAAACTCAAAACACATCCACATACATCAAAAAAATTGCAGATACATTTTGGTAGAATGACAACTAATTTGAAATGGAGAGATTAATAAGGATTTTAAAATCTAAATACCAAATCATTAAGCCAATAATATCGGATTTCATTTAGTATTTACAATTCATTGGATGAATAAAGGGGGGGATTTGGACGAAGATTTTAGCATCATTAATTCAATAAAAGAGTATTTTAACTTGGATTTATAAATCCATCAAAACACATGAACCAATAAACCTTCTGCGATTTTCCGAATTTCGTCTATACTATTTAGTTAGTTACTGTGAGAATTGGGGTTTGATTAAAGGTTGGATTTCTCAACAATGAAGTTTTTGTCGTCTTATCATGTTGATATATAGATCTTCGGTTTCTCGAATTGTTTCTGGTTTTAATCCGATAGCGTCTACCGTTTTTGGATAAATTATCTTTTAGGAGCACAAGTGACCGAAGACAATATGGAGCCTCAGTCTTGGAAAATTCTGATATTGGGAAGAAAACAAAATGTTTATGAGACCTTTTATATGAGAAAAGAAATAGAATGATTAAATTTGTAACAGGCGCATGTACTAAAACTGAAATGATCTGTTACGAGTTTCGTAAACTTTTACTTTTTCATTTTTTTTTGTTTTAAATTGCTCTTTCTAAACATAAATGCAATATCAAAATACAAGGAAGTTTTCCCTCCTTTTTCCGCAAATCATTTTTTTTTCACACAGCTCAACATCAACACAATATTACGCCAATCATGGGCATAGGTTATCCACCTGGACCACCTCTATGAACGATTTCACCTCACAAATACATAACTCACAAGTGAATGAGATTCTCTAGCAATTCTTTCGTCCACATGATTTCCATCTCTTGGATAGAATAATAAGTATCTACACTTTGGAACAATAGCTCCCGGATGTCTTTGTTTAATGGTTGCAGTAGAGAAGGCCTTTAATTTGTGCTTTCACTTATCACTATACATGACTAGCTACATCCACGAGCTCTTTGGCATCACACTCAAATATCACCTTCTAATCACCCAGATTATTTAGCTTATGCATCTGTCTCCACTGCTGTCTGCTGACCTCTCTTTATCGGAACTGATTTTACACTTTTAAAATTAACAATTTTTCTTTTGCGTTAATCTTCAATAGCTTAAAATTTCCAATATACTACTTCATAAACATAAAGACATTAAAGCATCTTACATTGTGGAAGGGAGATATTATAATTTTATACTTTTAATTTTATTTATAAGTGATAGCTAAAATTGACATTCATCATATATTCCAATTTATACATATATTGTACATTCGTACGTATTTAAAATTTACAAACTTTTCGTGTAACTAATATGCAAATACGTACTACGAATTTTCATATGCTTTTACCCCAAAAGAAAACGAAATCATATGCAATGCAATGAGCCAATGACATAAGCTAAAAAAATGTCTTGTCATCCAAAGCAGCGAAAGTTTCAGTAAAAAAAAAAGCAAATATAGGAAGAAACAAAATGACTACGAAACGCAACTTTTTCTTTTTGGCAGATTGACAATCATCCACCAGTATGATCACGGTTCTGAAATCCAAGGCAGAAAATATATACTTTTTCTGGAACTTTCTTTTATTCCAAAACTAACATAGATTTTTTTAAAATCTTGAAGAGTTTTAATCATGTTTAGAATCATATGATTACATTCGTTTTTCAGTATATTAGTAGTATAGACAACAAAAGATTATAGACGAAAATCTGAAACGTAGTTGTGCGGAAGAAAAGATACTCAAAAGGTGGTGATATTTTTATGTTTTACACATAACTAGACGTGCCTGTCTAATCGTAACCTAATTAGTCGTGTTTGTCACTTTGTCTAATGGTCTAGGCTAGGATTTAGGACACTGTTGATGTTTGATCCATTATTTTTTAAAGCTTTAATTAACAAAATAAATCGACTTAATCTATAACTCATCACGATGATATAGATTTGTTTTTACAAATAATCCATCTCACCTGCACAACCATCATAAATTTCCATATTTTTCTTTCTCATATGCTATGATGCATACTTTTTTTAATTTACAAAATCCCATGATTAAAACGTAACGTGTGTAACTAGTCATCCTTTACAAAGTTACAGTTATAAACTAGCCGTGCGTGTGAATACATAAAACATTTGTCGACAAAAAAATACATTAAACAATACAATTAGTATACACCAATGCACCTTTTCACAGCCTTGCTAATGGGATATAAAACCGGCGTCTAAACAGATCTAAAATGGTCTAGAAATCAAGCCTTCAAAAACAGGTTAGAAAAACATTTTTCAAGTCACCGCAAGATATTAAATTATTTTAACATATACGACTTTTTATTCTGGCCAATAACAATTCAGACTTTAGGAAAGAGACTATATATAATAAGATATTTGTCGTTAAAACATTTACGCGTAACACGCGTGTGTGTATATAAATAGATGCATTGGGAAGGAGGAGGAGAAGAGTGTCCATATCATACCATAATCATTCGTTAATCAAAAAAAAAAATCTAACTTCCTCTCTCTCACACACACAAAAATACCAAAAAGCAAAAGAAAAATGGAATTAGTCGAAGAGACCTTTCCAAAAGAAGCAAGTAAGATGGTAAAAAGAATTGTGGTGGACAAAGCTTATCTCTATGAAGAAGACAAACCACTCACCGTCTGCAAAACCTCTCTCTTCTACACCGGCGATGGCTTCACCGCCTACGACTGCAACGGCGACATCGTCTTCAGGGTCGATTCGTACGGTCCCGACACTAGAGATAACGACGAGTTTGTCCTCATGAACACCACCGGGAAGTGTCTCCTCACCGTTAAACGAAAGGTATACTTTTTCTTAGACCCATCTTCATCTTCTTCTCTCTTACTTTCTCTTTCTTTAGAATTGAGTTTGTACGAGCTACAGTCAACCCGTGAAGGTGACTCGCTGATTAGATATAAAGTTTGATGCTTTGCTTGTTTTGGTGGATTTCTTTAGATGGGTTTTGGTTGTTTAACGAATCTCATTGATGGGTTAGAGAATTGGATGAAAGTTTTTATTTTTGGTTGGAGAAAGATCTGAAATATTTGTTTTAGCCGAGTTATGAAACCGACTCAGTCGCTATATTCAATTATTTAGTTCCAATATGATTCTGAGTCAACTCGTCGAGTTGGGTTTGTTTTGATGAACAGAGACCGACGTTGCATCAGAGATGGGAAGGTTTTCTCGGGGAGAGATCGGAAGGTCAGAAACCGATCTTCAGCGTCCGGAGATCGTCGATAATCGGACGGTGCACGATGGAAGTTGAAGTATACGACGGAGCCGGGGAAGAGTACATAATCGACGGTGACTTCTCGCAGCGAAGCTGCGTCATATACGACACGGAGAAGCGAACTGTGGCTGAGATCAAACGCAAAGTGGACACGTCGACGAACGTGATGCTTGGCCGAGATGTGTTCACTCTCGAAATCAAACCCGGTTTCGACGGAGCCTTCGCGATGGGTTTGGTGCTCGTGCTTGACCAGATCAACGGTGACGATCCTGTTGAGATCGGTGATGAACAAGTGCACCCATTTGTAGAGGATTAGTCTCTCTCTCTCTCTCGCTCTCTATCTATCTATCTCACATCTCTTTAAACGGTCAAAATCTTTGTTCCGGTTAACGAATGGAATCTAATCTCTGGGGGTTTTTTCAAATCTTTGGATTTGGACATTTGAGGCTGTTTGTATCATTATGTGTAAAAACATTTAAGTTGCTATCTTAGTACGTTACATAATATATAGTCTCTGTCTCGGGAAATTTGTTGACTATATGTGTTGTTGGTGTTACAAATTTATTTTGTCTGCTCTTAAGTCATATACAGATACATACATTGTATCAGAAAAAAAAATGTGCTTAAATTATGTATAACTAGATTCGCCCATTGACCAGATTTAATGTATTGTAGAAAAATAACCAGTTTACAACAAAAATATCTTTTAGGGTCTACTACAGTTTATAAGATAAAATAGTACATGTATATATGGTGTTAGTTGCAAGTTGCAACATAAACTTATGTATAACTAGATTCGTCCATTGACCAGATTTAATGTATTGTAGAAAAGAACCATTTGAGTCATTTATAAGATTTGTCCTTTTAGGTCAACTACAGTTTATTAGATTAATTAGTATATGTATGGTGTTAGTTGCAACATAATCCTATGGATCGTGCTAATTTTTATACTAATATACGTATGAGGTGTAATAATGTAACGTGTATTGTGCGCATATGTCAATGCCAAGATCTCGTTGATAGTTCTATTACATGTGCCAGTTGATCCTAGATGAGAGAGTGCGTAAGAATAATTAATACATAAATAGAAGGTGGTCGAATAAGATTTGATAAAACGATTAGAATATGGGAATCTATTAAAGAGAGAAGATATTGTATATGATCTTGACTTCTTGCTCCACACTACATATTTGATTCGTTATCGTAATCATAATTAATAATATATAGATACTTTTACACATTCACAATCCTTTCATTACGTATATAGTTTGATTAGTTGCATGTACCAAACGCACCATGAATAAAACCAAACAAAACAAAACTAGATTATATAGGTAATCTACTAAATTTAGGCGAGGATAATTTTGGTGTAGAGGATTGATTAAAAGTTCTCTGGATTTTCACAACATATGTTCATTCAGTCAGATTATATGGGCTGTGATATTGAGTCCCAACCTCTCAACCAGTCCTATAAATTTTTCTTTAGGCTTTAAAGTTACTTTTTCTTTTGCTATTTTCATTAGTTATGTTTGTAACCTTCTAAAGTTCGTATTAGATATATATATATATAAAGAAATTGTATAAGAATCTAAAACTTCAAATTACTAAAAAGTAAAAACAATATCGTTTCAAAACAACCACATTTGATTAAAATGACAAATTCTTATATCAACAACGAAAAAGTTAAAGTGATTTTTCAAATACAAATCAAGAATTATGAGGTTAATTTAATACATCTCCACAAACCAAAGTGTCAAACTGAAATCTGATCACAACACTCACGTCAAGGGTAACAAACGGTGAAGAAGAAGAAACATTACAACACAAGCCGATACAAGAGCGTTCAAGGACGCCCCAAAACGGCACCGTGTGGCAGAAGAGTATTTGAGTCCAGTGAAGCCAACGTCGTAGGAAATACTACCGTCGGGTTTAAAAAGACCAAAGTTTCTCTCAGAAGTAGGACCCGGTTTCAGATTCTCGTTGAAGAGAGCAAACACGTAAGCTCTCACCAACATGTCTGGTCTGTACGGTGTGCCTTTTCTCTTCTTCAGCCGTTTCCTAAGGTTCCTGTTATATGTTTTCGCGTTCTTCACCGACGCTCCGGCTTCGTCTGCGTCTCCTTTCGATGCCCATCCCGTCTCCGAAACAATCACCTATACGCACAATAAAAATGACTATTTATATTTTTCTTTAAAATATGAATGACCTCTTTCATTATTGTACTCAAAAATTCTTTTGTCAAATCTTCTAATTTGCGTTTAACATTGCAAAGAATCTAAAAATGTTAAATTTCAAAAGAGTGATTTTTCATGTAAACGCAAAAAAAAAAAAAAGAGAGTCAATTGATGCTTAGATCTAAGCTTGGTTGCTAAAACATAATTTATACACATTATAAGTCTACACACATTTATCTTACGTTTGCATGTCAAGTTTAGTATTTTCCAAACTTTTTTGATAAAAGTACCAAAATATTATTGTGTTTGTGTGCTTGCAAGCATATGTGTATGCTATAGAATATGTTTGATAAAATAAAAGATCTAAATTGACATAAATATTCAATCATATCAATTATTTATAGTGATGATAAAGAAGTACGTACCGGCACTTTAGTGTAGCCAGCTTTCTCGAGAGCGGCATAAGAAGCATCGACCATGGCGTCGAACATGTTATCGTAATGAAGCTTAGTCTTCTCGTCGTAGATGCCATTCGTGTGCTCGAAGATTGCATAATTGAGGTCAATATGACTCGGATCCGATTTATACGCTAGGAAAGGGTAAGCGTTAATGTAGAACGGCGACCCAATCTGCCAGAAAAATGCCAACAACGGCTTCATAAACGGTGCCACATCGTCCCTGAACGTGCAAGACGACGGTGGGTACGAGTTCGCAAACACCGCCTCCGAATGTGGACTCGACACCTAAAAATGTAAAGTTTAGATATATTTCTTAGGGACAAAACATTAAAAGATAACATTTGTAGAGAAAAACAAGAAATGATTCGTTCTAACATTTTCTTGAATCTTTATGATTATTTCTTTGTTTGGTTGATTATAAGATTGTGTTTACGTACCTCAACGATAGTGTGAAGACCGAGACGGCGAAGAGCGGTGTAAACGTTCTTGGCCGCGGGCAAGAGAACTTCCCAAAGCTCGATTGTGGTGCCACCTAAAATCTCGTTTCCGATGGCGATACCGCTGATTCTAGTACCGCCACGTATGAAAGGCTCAACGTTTTCTTTAATCCAACTCATGGCTCGGTCTTCTCCAACGCTAATGTCCGTGAGAAACTCATTGCCTAGGCCAACGATGATCTCGATGCCGGTGTTACGGAAGGCAGTGAGGACGGAGTGGTCAGCGTCGTAGATACGGATGTTTCTGATCTTTGCTGATTTAAGGAGAGTCGCTACCGCGTTAGGGTTTGGGAGATTGTCGGCTATTCGTCCGTAGTTTACACCGTATGTTCCGATGAATGCTACGGCCGTTTGTGAAGAGAAGATAGAGAAGACTAAGAGAAGCGAGAAAAAGAAAGAAGAGAAAACCATTTCTGAGAAATGCATTTGAGATTGTGTCTTGAATGGTGTTGTAAGAACAGAGCAGGTTTTTTTGTCCTAAAATGGGAACAAGAAGAGTTTATAGTATTGTGTTGTTCCTAAATAGGAAGATTCTAAACCTTTGTCTCCGGGACCATGCAAAAGAAAGGAATCAAGGGTTAGTTGTTTAGAAGGCAAAAATGAAAAAATTCTACTGTGAAACTGAATCTAAGGAAATAAGAAGAAAACTAACATTTTGGGTCTTTCTTTGCATTAGATTCTTACTTTACCTTCAAAGCTAAACTTTTTCTATTTTCCCTTTTTGCTCTTAACTCTTCTTTCCTTTTTTTTAAAAAAAATAACTCCATTTTTAGAAGTTTAGAAGATCATCCAATCTGACTTACTTCTAATTTGGTTATCCATTAAAAATGTAAAAAGAAACTTAAAGACTACAGCAGCAATAAGATAATTAAAGACCATCACATAAGGTTGCAATAGTTATACAAAAGAGTTAATAATATCATCTACATAATCTTACACCAAAGAGAGAAAATGCACATAATACTGCAGTCATCTCATAAGTCATAATTCATGATACATATCTCCGCCTAATAACATCATCATTCACCGGCGATAATCACTAATTAGATACACAACAAAAAGAAACAAGAGACTCACAGTTCATGAGCTACCAAAAGCAGAGGAGGGCATGGCTATTCAGTAGCTTCTGCTTCTGCAGTTTTCACTTTCCCCTCATCAACTTCTGTTGTCACACCATTTCCCTCATTGTCTTTGGTATCGGCTTCAGTCTCGCCTGCAATTTCCTTCTTCTCCTCACCAGTAGCTTCAACGGCCTTCTCCTCCTCATCAACAGGTTTCTTAGTCTCCTCTTCTTTCTCAATCTGAGACTCAACCTTCTCCGTCTTACTATCTTCAACGGTCTTCTCCTCTGCATCAACAGGTTTCTTAGTCTCCTCTTCTTTCTCAGTCGGAGACTCCGCCTTCTTCTCCTCACTAGTAGCTTCAACGGTCTTTTCCTCTGCATCAACAGGTTTCTTAGTCTCCTCTTCTTTCTCAGTCTGAGACTCCACCTTCTCATTCTCACCATCTTCAACTGGCTCAGGTGCTTTCTCCTTCACCAAGTCACCAACTTCTTGAACTGGAGCAAGATCCGGAGTTCCCTCAGCAACAATGTCGTCTTTTGCCATTTCAGTATCTTGGACATGAGAGTTTTCCACCACACCTCCCTCTGACTTCTCACCTTCTGTGTCTTTCTTCGACACTGAAGATTTGGCTCGACCTCGCTTCTTGGGTGGCTCTTTGTCTGGTGGTGATGGCGACGACTTAGTCTTCCCACTGATCCTAGCGGATCTCCTCGGTGTCCCACTCGTGGTCCAATCGAACTCTGCGATGGCGGGGCTTCCAGGGTGTGATTTGAGATACTGCTCCAGCTGCTTCCTGTTACTGATCTCCTCTCCCGTTGGAGCAACAAACACAATCTCTATTTTCTTCACTTTGTTTGGGAAAAACTGCAAACATCAAAAAGAAGAAGAAGTCACTGTTGGTATTTTGAAGTTCAAGAAAAGCTTCAGTAGCAATTGAATGCTCAAGATTTAGTTTTAAAGACGACCCTGTAGCTTAGTAAGGGTTTACAAGAATCAAAATGTGGCCTTTTTGAAAGTCTGTAACTTTGGAATCACCCAATTTAACATCTATACTAACAATTCACTACCAAAAGCTAACATCTTTTAACTTTGGAATCACCCAATTTCACATTATACAGCAAAATTCTAGGGTTTGTTCTTCTTTCGTTAGCTGAAATTAGCATACCAGTTTCTTCCATGAAGACGGTGCTGGTAGCTCAACAGATGCAGTTTCCTCTTCGGTACCCATTTTCCTGTCGCAATCCCTGAAAACAGAAAAAAGGAGAAATTACGAAATGCCACAAAAAATTTGAACAATTTACAACACACTCTTGTCGAATTTAGTACCCGAAAATGAGAGGCGTCACAGAGTCACGACGGAGAAGAAGACGGTTGAGAAATTAGGGCTTTTTGTGTGTGTTTTGGGGGTTAGTTGGCTCTGCTAATTTCTCTCTGTGTTAACATGTCTCTAGACTTTTCGAACCCAAAGAAGAAGCATCATGATAGAGTCACCATGCAAATCACATTTTAACTTAACAAACCAATGCGATTTAACCACGTGTCTATCTCTCAAAACTTGTGTATTAATGCGCTCTAATCTTATCGAAACTGGTAACGACACGTTAAATAAAGCCTTGCTTGATGAAAAACTTTAAAAGAGGTGTTAAAAGGGCACGTCGTCGACTCTGGCCTTGGCATTAAATGCTTTGGAATAACTTGGTGGTCATGTAATGCACGTGCCATGTATTCAACGACTTTCTTTCTCCGTAATGATAACTTGAAGTTCTGTATAAAACGATGACATTTGGAATCAACATTTTGAAGCCCATAAATATCTATTTCTGATGGCCCGTTTCTATTTTGCTCTTTGATGACACCGCATACTCTTCTTCTTTAGGAACTCTTTTCCTTAAATGGCCGTTTGCTTTTTGTATTTTCCATTCTTGATACTTCTTCCTCTACCATGATGTCATTGTATTCTGAAATCCTTGGACAGTCTATTGAGAGAAGACATGTGGAATACTTAAGAGGCAATGGTGATCTTTTGACGCAGCATGTTTTTGCCAAAGGTGAAGATTCTAGTGTTTAGCAACACGACTGCGGTGGAACTGGTTTTCAATAGGCCTCTCGATACCTTGAATAACCTCCTCTTTAAAGAAAGCAAGATTTCAATAGTTTCTATGACTGCTTTTATCGCTCATTTTGGACCTGATGAGACAGCTGCTATATGTGTTATGTTGGCTTCCAGTATCTTGTGTGGAGGACTGTACGAATTTGATTCTCTGGTTTCAGTGAGAGTAGCTGAGCTTTACGAGGTTGGTAGTTAGTATGCTCAAAGTTTCTCAAGAAGCCGAGCCCATTCTCTCCGATGCTCACGATGGGCTATATCTATGTGCATCAAGATTACTACATCCGATATGGAACGCCCATGTAGTGTCAGAAAGGACCAGCTCTAATGATGGAGTGGTGTTTTGTCATCTTTCTACTGATGTCATGCTGCAGCTTGAAACCAAGATTCGGTCTCTGGAGGACTTGATAGTAAGGGCTGAAGATTCAGCAAACCACAGACAGTGACAGTTTCTTTCTTGTAGTCGCTTTCAGTGGACTGTTGTAAGCATTTGCTTTTAAGATCAGCAGAAGTCCTTTGCTTGCTTCAAATTCTCAGCCATTATGACATTACAATATCTGTCCTTGAAGAAAGCTTAAGCCGATCTTTGCTTGAGTTAGAGTTTCATCAATTGGTTTGTTCTAAAGAAGATGACCACATTGCAAAAGTTCTCATATCTGCCATAACAGAGGTTAGTACCACTCTTTTGAATTAGGTCGTTAATATGTGATGTCCTCGTGTTGAATGTTTTAACTTAAATCTAACTTATACTGTTAACTGCAGAATCGTTCCGACTCGGAGTCTATTAGGGATCTACTACTTGATAGCTGCTCAAGTTACCTTAAGGAGGCTAAAAAAGCTGGAGCAAGTGGACAAGAAAGGAGGAAGAGAGACTGAGCCTACTACTGACGTAGAAACTATGAAGTAGCTTATACAATCATCTTATTATCATGTATTATTGCATCCTATCATCTGAATAACTTGATGTTCTACAAGAAAGATGCGGATTTTCTACAGGTAGTCTTGATCTACAGGAATTTCTACAGACATATATATATATACACAGAGAGTGTAGTAGATGAGAATTGATACCAGTGAATAGGCTTATTTAAAACGTGAACCTTTCTTGCCTTTTCCTTTACCCCTTCCATCGGTGACTGTAACCCAGAAGAAGAGAAACATCCAGAATAGCACTGCGAGGAAGATCTTTACTCGGTCTTGAATCCTTGTCACACTTCTCACAAGACCTATTATCCAAAGCAAATACAAATATATGTTTTACAAGGATCCATGGGAGAAGAAGAAGAGATTACATTTCACTTGGTGTAGTACTAGTAAAGTAGTAAGCGAGTGCTTCTCTGTTTCGAAAATCTTCTAATGCTCTAAATGATCACTACCAAGCTATTCAACAAACACAACAAATGTCCGCCCTTTTGGATCACAAGGAGGACCTTTCTTCAATACTAATTTGCCTAAAACGAAAACCAACAACATGTCGAAATATGCGAACCCATGGAATTTGAATGGTTAAAGGTTAGTTGTATAAAAATCAGTACTTTTCATGAATGATGATCGCAGAACGATCCAGTACTAAATCAAAACTCGATTAAATATTGCCACTCGAGATCTGTATGTAGTAAACTACATGTGTATCAAGAAAAATTGAATCTTCTGAACAATAACACCGGTTTAAGCGACAAACAAAATAGTTCAAATTCAAAGGCAAGCATAAAAATCATGTGAGCTAAGAAGCATCGAACCTGCAAGCTGAGTGGTATTCTCAGGCGGAGGAGGATCGGGACCAGGAGAAGATGGAGGGCCACCAGCAACGGATATCCGGCGTAAACGGCGAGGACTCCTGAGTAGGAAGCTGGTTCGATGGTGAAGATGAATCGACGGAGAGAACGCCGGAAGAGTTGGGTGGTGGCTGTAGAATTTCGAGCTGCTCGTGGTCGACAGAGCCATTTTCCTTTTCCTCAACGATAAATTTAAGACCTCATTTTCTCTATTTATTTTATTTAGGGATTTCATTCAGAAAATGAATACGTGTGTGTTGTGAAAAAATGCTCAAAATTCACTCTGTTAACAAATGATATTACCAGTAACTTTTTTGTTGTTACATTACCCTCTTTAAATCAACAACAAAAAATTGATTAACGATTTTATGAGATCATCGAAAACCACTTAACTCCACTCTAATACAAATGTTCTTTTTTTTTTGAAAAAGGCTTAACTCTAATACAAATGTTTAGAAAGTAACACATGATTTACGGGCGTGGAACCATTTGTTAGAACTTAGAACACTCATTTTAACCCAATTCATTATAATCAAAAATTTCAACGTAATAAAAATCTATAGGTCGGATTTGGCTTGTATCGACCCATGAGTAAAATTCCTTTAAACAAAGTTATTCACAAAACATTAACAATTAACTATGTGCAATTTGAAGTGTTGGTTATTCTGTTCACATTGACCTTTAAGTTTTGGTTCTCTCTTTCTCCTATCCACCACCAAAGGTCGCTTAGATCAGATTTGGATTTTTGAAAGTGTAGCATATAGATTGACATATTAAATAAATTAACATTTAGTATTTAATCTTTAATTCCAGCTTTAAGTAGATGCGTATCTTCTTCTTTTTGGAGATAATTTTAATTACCTTTGAATTTCAGAGGTTTTGGCTTAGGTTGCTTCACTAACATGTGGTGTTTAATTTTTAATTTTAGCTTTAGTAAAGTTATTACATCTTCTATTTTTTTTTCTGGTCAATACAGACAAATACTAAACACTCAATTATCTTATTGATATAATCTCAAAATTTTTGATGGCAACGAAGAAGAAAAAAATGGTTAACCAAAAGAAAAACAATGAAAATAATGAGCAGAATTTTGTTCGTAAATATTTTATACTCTCGTGAACGTGATCATTGATTTAAAAATTATATAGTTAACCAAACAAATAAAAGTTCAAAAAGAAAAAGAAAAATCAATGATACACATATTCTATTTTCTCAAGTTGCTAGTGACAGTATTTAGTATTTACAGGTCAATTATGTACATCGTCACTTGATTCTAAAACAAATACAATTACAAAAGCAGATGATTAAGAAGATCACCTACTACTACAACGAAAAAAAAGAAGCACACGAAGACCACCTACTACAATTTCTGAATTTTTCAAGAGAATGTATAGAATATCGGAAAATGAAAGAAACAAATTTACAAACCTAAAACTATTGAATTGTTTGGTCAAGAAGAAAAGTCAATAAGAGCATTGAGTTCTGTGATCTCGGTCTCTGAGCATCCCATTGTACAGAGCCATCCGGTTCGCTGGCATGGTGGAGACTCTACAAACCGAATCGGCCTTTCCCGGTTTGGTCACCGGTACGGTTCTTTTGCTGAGTTCCTTCCTCCGGTACTCTTTCCCGTTCCCTTTTGTATCTTTCACATTCTCGTCGAACCGCACTTTCTTCTTCGTCTTCCTCCTCTGTTTCTTCGTTTCCTCTGCATCCCAAGAAAAAGACTTATTTTCCCGGGAAAATCAATCAGAAACGTCCGAGTCCCAGAGAAAAAGATCGTACCTGAAGATAAGCAAGAACGGAGGACGGGTCGTGGAGTCTGATCATGAGTCTTGGAGGTTTGATTTCCATGAAACTGACGAGCCATCGCGAGAAACAGAGCGGTGCTTGAGAACACCATGGCGGTTGCGATCACGACGGTGCCATTAGAACAGCCCAACATAGAAGACATTTGCTTGGAGTTTCTTCAACCGACGAGCTTGAAGAGATACGCAAGAAAGAAAATTCTCGAGAAAACCAACAGAGAAGAGAATTTGAGCTGAGCTGAGGTGCTCGATGATTGGTTGAGGGAGGAGACGTGTGTGTGTGTTTTTGAAGAGACTTGGTCAGACGTGTAACTCAACAACTGTTGAAATTCTATGGTGTGATCTCTTTTCTTGATTCTCTCATATATTTATACAATTTTAAATTGGGAGAAAATAAAAGAAAAATATATAAAACTTGGAAAAGAGGAGTGATGAGAGTTAGATTTTGGTGCTTTGTTCCTTACATATCTTAGTGGGAATAAGAAATAATATATAAACAAAATTAAATTTAATTAAAATTTTAGAATAACAAGACTGTTATCTTTTTACTACTGTGTTCTAAAAGTCGGCCGAGTTGCCGAGTACTCGGTCCTAAAACCGTCAGAAGGAGGTTGCCGTTCCGACTTTTTAAAAACCGAGTAAAGATATGGTCAACCGTTGACCGTACTTTGACATTCACATTATTATAAAAATCAGTAAGTAAATGTTAAAATCTAGTGGCTAAAGTTTGATTTTTGTTCACAATTAGCCCCAATTCGCCCAAAGTGTGTAAAGACACTTTTCATTCAACATGAAACCTTAAAAATGTAGTATATGACTTTTATATTGATGTATTATATATAAAAAAATAATGTTATTTGGTAATAATGTAGTATATGATTTTCATGTTGATGTATTATATATAAAAAATTAAAAATGTTGGAAATATATAAAAATGTACTTAAAATTAATTTCCGAGTACTCTCCGATTTATTTCCGACTTTTAAGAAAATCGCTAGAAGGAGACGGAGCGCCCTAGTACCGCCTAACGAGTTTTAGAACACAGGTTTTTAGTCAATAAACAACTTGTATTCTAGAACAAGTGGGAATTTACAACAATTATGCTAACTGCTAAGTTTTAAAAATGTATAACTCTTTTGAAGTCTCTCAGTCTGAGTCATATGTTATCAACTGGTGTTCGTAGTATGGCTGGGATAAAAACGTCTGGGAACAATAAAGTAATAATAACATAACACATAAATATATATTGTAAAACCCAACTCATAAATCATAATACTGTTTGTCAGTCTATTATCCTTTTCTTTTGTTGTCGTTCTATTATCTAATGAATTAATAAAAATTACTTGGATGGATATCTTTATCAAAATCTTTACAAAAAAAACAAGTGTCATAAAAAAGGCGCAAGCGAAGCAACGAGAATTATTGGAAGCTTGTCGACTGGTTGTGAGGTTGTATTAACTTTGGATGTTGAATGTCAACCACTTGCGTATTGCACTTTGACCTTTCATCTATCAGAGACCATATCGAATGAATCTTCTCAGCATTTCGTTAAAGGTGATGAGTGATGACCATTATTGGAAGCTTCATACACGTGTCCTGTCAGTTTTCGAAAGCCCAATGTCTAACATTAAACCAATAAGGTTCCACCATGTTTTAAATACAAGAAATTTCCGTATTTAGAAAGAACTTCTCGAGTAGAAGTCTTGCGAAACTTCTCAGCAAAGCTTTTTTGATATATATCTTAGTAAAAATTTCATATTTCTATAATCATAGGCCAAAAACACACAATTGACACCGATATTCAATCAAAACAAAGGATAAATATAAGGCTCATAAGTTCAACGGTACGAAACAACGAAAAGGAGGGAAAAAAAGAGATCACAAAGCTACATTCTCACCAAGTCATTGTACGAACCAAAGTGCATCAAAACCACACCAACGATTAACTTATTAGTTTTCTAAAGGTAAAAAGAGACACTCCCATTTATTCAAAGCAGGGACAGACATAACCAGTTGAGAGATTGATTAGGTTGTAAGGATTGGAGGCAGGTAGTCTGATTTGGTGCCGAGGATACGAGCCTTCGTGTCAGGGAAGAACTCGACTCCCGGAAGCTCGGTGATGTCACCTTCGCTGGCTACACCAATCGGGTAACGAAGCAAGTGACCAGGAAGGTCATGTTCCAGCGACTCACTCGAGTAGAAGTCCCAGTACTTATCAGCAATGCGGTTAACTTTCTCAATGCACTCCACGCTCGAGGGGTCGAGGAAAGTCTCGTCAAGCATTCCCAAGTGTTCGTACCATAACGACATACGGAAACCATGGATCTGTCCACGAGCTGGTTGTCTATGTGACAAGTGATGTGGCTGATAACCTCCCATCGCTATCTCCGAGTCTCTAGCTCCATCCATCGACCTCTGGTTGATGTTAGCAGATCCCACTATTATATACTCATCATCAACTGCAAAATGGATCGTTACGTGAGTCACACACAAACTCTCTACATGTTTTTCTAAGTAAGTGTAAAAAAAAAAAACTCACCGATCATCATTTTGCTATGAACGTAAATCATAAAGCGTCTAGCTTCTTGAGCCCTCATGTAGTCAGAGTCAGGGTCTGGTCTCTCCGCAGGCTCATACTCTCCTTCTTTCTTGACCTCACGGTTTCCAAGGCAGAAGAAGGTGAGATAGTTTCTAGGGTCTTCCTCTAGTCCCTGAGCCCTAAGCGCCTGAACAACATCCTTGTACATCATCTCCATGGTCCTCCTCTGCCAATCCAATATAGCTTGCACCGAAGCACTCTCCGGTAAACCCTCAGGCCACATGGGAACCACAACATAAACCCTAAACTTCTCTCCTTTCTCGATCTTGTCAACGATCTTGAGAGACAGCTCCTTCGGGATCAAGTGCAGAGCGTTGATGTCCTCTGGTGTGATCCCATCCGCGGCCCACGCGAACGAGCTTCCAAGGAAGTACTGGTTCTCGATGTAGATGAAGTCTTTCGCACGTCTGATGGCGTGGATGTAAGCATCTTGGATACTCCTGTCGATGATGTTATCTTTCCCGCTCACAAGACCAGCCTCCGCAGCGGCTTCAGGAGAGTCCGGAAACCCGGCGGCAGCTCCACCGTCGATGGATCTAAAGAGCTGGACGTTCCAAACGTCGTGGTCTTCTTGGAACATGACAGGAGAAGGTGTGATGATGATGTCACTTAGGTCTCTCAGCTTCACGAGGATGTCTTTACCACCTTGCTTGCTCCATCTCTGCTCGAAGTTGTACATGACGTCCCAAGCAATGGGACCTTCAAGACGAGAGTGAATGTCCTGCCACGGCTCCCTAGGACCACCTTTGGTGATTGTAGCTCCGGTGAAGTTAGGCTGATGGAAGTCGTCGTGGTGGACAGTGTCAAGCGTCCTGAACAAGGAATGGAAAGGAGTGTCGTACCTCCCGTCGCAGAGATCAATACCGCCGACGAAGCTAACGATCCTCCTCATCTCAGAACCTCCTTGGCTAGGGAGGTCGCTGTCCACGACAACGATCTTCTGGTGATGAGTGAACATGGTAGAGACCTGCAAGCTCTGCACGATGCTGCCACCGTCGTCGGGGTTACGAGGGCAGAGAACACAGTTGACGTCGCTTCCTCTGAAGAAATTCTCAGTGTCTTCATCATGAGTAGCCATGAGACCATCCTTCTTGAGCACGTCAACGGAGGTTCTGTCGTCCCAGATAAGCAAGAGAACCCTAACGCCTTCGCTAGCCTTCTTCTTGAGAAGCTCACCGATGGTCATGTCTCCACCTGGCTTTTGCCTCCTCGAGTCTCTGATGAGAGTGATCTCAGTGTAGACAGACCATCCAGTGATGTAGATCAAATGCTTCGCGTTGCTTATGGCGTCGAAGATATCCTCCCAACACCTCTGAGGCTCGTAGTTCTTGCCACCAGCGAGAGGGATCCTCGGGACGAAGTTGTCCGGGATGTGAGCTCCTTGGTAGAGAGAGACTTTGCATCCTTGTCTCTGAGAGAAGAACGTGTAGGGCACGCCAGGGAATTTAGCGCTTTTGATGCCCTTGTTCCAGTTACGATCCTCCTCGACATGGAAGTAGTGGAGCCTCACGTGGATCTTGGATCCTCCTTGGATAGGGTTTCTGTCGTTGTCCAAGATCTCAACCCATTTATCAACTTCCTCGCCGTGGATGACTTCGTCGACGGGGATGTACGCTCTTCCGATGAGGGTTGCACCGATGGGGTTATCGTCTTTCACAGTGAAGATGATGTCGGAAGCCAAGTGAGCACAGTAGATGTGAAACGACTCGTACCACTTTGGGTTTTTAGGCTCGTTCTTGATCTTCCTGGTTCGACCGACTCTTGCTTTCTGGAGATCGATCGTGGCGTAAAGCTGTGTTTCTCCTTTGCCAACACCAATCGTCTCTTCAACATTTGCAAGAATCTGTAAAGAAGACATCAAGATCACAAAAAAAAAAGGAGAGAATAAAAATGGCGAAAAGAGAGTCAAAGGTGTATATTAGTTACCTTCCCGAGGAAGCCAGCTCTGACTCCACCACCATGAAGCGCATCAACTTCATAGATTGTAGCATGTAAAGTCCCGTGCAACAGATGCTGCGCCATTTTTGTGTGTCACCTGTAACAAAAACCATATTGATTTGGTTTGTATAAAGTTTTTGTTTTGTCCGAACAAAAGCGAGATCCAGGAAATAGTAAATCCAACTTCAAGATCTGGGATCATATAGACAGTAAAAAAAAAAAAATCGCAAAATCATATAGACCACACAAAAGTTCGCAGTTCTATTCAGAAGATCAAACGTAGAAAACAACTAAAACCGTGAATTTACAGTCACTAATCTCGCTCATAACGGATCATCAAATCACAATACTATGGATGAAAGTTAGAAATCAACGCGATCGCTGTTAATTTTATCGAAACGAAATCATAAACAAGAACAAACAGAGTTCGCGAGTTTTAACACTCATTTCGAGACCAAAAAGACCACTAAATCGTACGGTAGTGGAAGAACAATAAGGAGAAAACAAATGGATGAGATTCAGAGGTAGGAAGATAAAGGAGTTGGGAAAAATTACCAACTGCGAGATCGGAGAAACTCAATCGGTGGTCAGAGGAAGAAGAAGAATTCGGGATCTAATCCGTGATTGAAGCTCTTTAAGAAGAAGAGAACTTTATGATTGGAGCTGTTGAATCTTAATTGGAGCGCGTGGGTCCTTTTTTCTTTTTCCTACAGAAGCCCACACTTGTACGAAGATAAACAGTTTTTGTTTCAGCCCTACAGTTTGTTAATTTGACACCTAGGTCCTAATTAGCCTTACACATTAATTATCTCAAGATTTCTTTCAGTTCATAATTTATGGTTATAACTTATAACCAAGTATTAATGATTAAATTTATGTTTTTGGGATTTTATACCATACAATGTAAGAAATTCAACATCAAAATAATAATGTAGGTTAAAATGTAAAATTAAATAATAAAGGTTCAAAAAGGAGAAAAGGGAATAGTTAGCGACTACTACAAAATCTTAAAAAGTTGTCCGAAGAAATATTCAGAGTTTGTAATATATCCCTGACTTGGGGATAAAATATCCAAATCGTGCTCCCGACGTTCTGCATCCAAATGCTACGACGACGTTTTCGAAGCTGAATCTTCACCGTCCATCTAGAGAAACTTTACGATCTACACTCACCTTTTTTGAGGACTAGTCCGTCCTACAACGTGTTCATAACTTCATATTGAACCACTAGGTCCACTACTGACAGTTTATCTGTTCATCATTGGATCTCGTGATGAGGTTCGTGATTGTTGTATAAACTATTTGCACTCATCTTAACAAAACAGAAAATTTTATTTTATCAGTTACGCCTCTTTCACTCTTTGTATGAATTGGTAATTATCAATCTTCTTTCCAAATGTAATTACTAGTTAGTCATAATCATGTTTGCGAATTATTCAAGATTCTAAGACAGCTTTAGAGCCTTTTGACAGGGACGGTAGGCCCATCAGCTGCCGACAATGGCGATGACTCTTTCTCGATATATAAGTCAAGAATAATTTTCTCAATATAAGTGGGTTGATATTTGATACTAATTTGCTTAAGCAGTGATATTGATTCTTAAGGTCTTCAAAACACTCCCTACTTTTAACTTGATATACTACTACACTTGTTTTGTATTAAATGAGCCAAATACATTACAAAACAACTTTTTTTGTTATCTAACAAAAAATTCTGTATGGTCTTTGGTTTCTTTCTTCCAGTCCAAATTTAGAGTACACATACATTATCTGTATGTTCTCCTCACAGTTTTAGACATGTACAGTCTACAATTCTACATTTAACCATCTTCTCACAGCTACATTATACTATCGTTACCCAAAAATATAGTATCATGTATTACTCTAAAAAAAAATATAATTTATTCTTAAGCTTTACTACATTTACAAATTTTATTAAATCAACTAATCACCTTTTTCTCCTTATTCCGATTTTATATCCCCTAACATCATGTACAAATGCTCATGGCAAGACCTTCAATATGCAACCGCCAGTGACTTGTCTATTACGTTTGCCAGATTACTAGCTAGCAAATGTCATCACTTCCGGATTGAAAAAGCTCCAATCCTCAGCTCACTTAGTTCAGTTTGCTTCTTCTGCGATTTGTAATGGGGCCTTTTTGTGAGTTCTAACTGTTCTATTCCCTTTTGTTATGACCAACTAATTTATATTCCAATTGAATTGTATTGATCAATAAAAGCAATCCGTAACTCGTATAATGTTTTTGTTTTTTCTAAAAAAAAGCAAAAAAAAAAATAATAATAATAAATGTCGTGATCAACTTCACCTTATATGAGACGAAACATAATATATAGATATTTTTTTCTGCTAGGTAGTAGTATTACTCTTTTCTAAGAACAACTTTTTTAATCCAATGCTTTTAGAATTTTCTCAAGTCTTTAAAGTCAGAGTTTACCCAATCACACTTTTATGATTTTAAAGTCCTAAAAGTCATTAACTTCGCCCTAAAATTTCTCACAGACCATTTCTTTTAGGCTTTGTCCATAACCTCGCTTGGCGCAGTATTCAAAGTTTGGTTTGGCTATATGGAATGGAAGACTTGTTTTCCTCTCGTACATAAATAGGCAAAGAGAAAAATTTCAAAAATAGGCTCATGAGACATGCTTCTTGTAATTCAATTCACAAGTTAGACGTACCAAAATTTCAGGCTGTCGAGTTGATTTTGGTAAAGAAAGGAAAAAAAAACAACACGATCTAATAAATGAGGGAGAGATTCACTTCTGTGCGTGTAACGATTGAAGTCTATATAACGAGGAAGATGACACAAGTAGAAATTGCACCTCTTCTTCCTCACAAACACTTTCCAAAAATCCCTTCTCTATACTCCATTTTTTTCTCCTACCAAGGATTTTTTTTTTTAATTATTGGAAAATAGATATGCATGAAGAGATTTTTCGTTTGAAACATATTCGTAGACGAGAAGTGGCACTTACGTCTCAAAACAAAGGTGAAAAAGGGAAAAGGAAGGTAACAAAAACAGAAATCCTCTGTTTGGAGACCACTTATCGTCTATGAATATGTTTCAAACGAAAATCTCTTCGAGCATATTCATGGCGAAGTGGTGTTAACATGGGAAAAGCGTCTTCGCGTTGCCATTTGAGATCGAAGAAGCCCTATCGTACTTGCATTCCACGGCATCGATCTATCACCGAGACGTGAAACTACCAACAATGCTCGACGCAAATTTCAGAACTAAGGTCGCTGACTTTGGCACGTCAAGATCCGGCCCTGAAGATCATACTCATATAATTAACTACAGTGAATATTTCGGGATCCAACGGAAATTTAGATATGGAGTATTACCAGTCAAGCAACTACACGGACAAAAGTGACGTTTACAGCTTCGGCGTGGTATTGATGGAGCTTATCACGGGAGAGAAGCCGTATTTTTTCACGCGACCTCCGGAAATTCGAAAGGCCCTTATTTAACAGTCACAGTTAAATTTATTTTTTTAACCGTCAAAAGTCCTTAACAATCAGTACCTAAATACTGACTGAGCTTGTAAGAAAATTAGATTTTCGCTTAGAAACAATATTTCCTGGATAGTCATTAGGTACAAATTCATTCCCCAATCAACATGTAATTAACAAATTTGCATATACGCAGAGCCGTGTTTAGAGGTATTAGTAAACGAAAACAGGCCCTAATTAACCATAAGCATTCCAAATTCATATAAAACCAATCTAATTCATATAAAACAGAAAAAGACATTATCTTTGCAACACATATTCTCCATCATAACAACAATTTACAGTCTCCAAATTTACAAAATTACAATATTGAGATTTTTTTAAAAACCTATTCCAATCTAAATAATCAAATCATATTTCCTTTAGGTTGATTAACCATCATTACCACTATCACAAATCAAACTGAAACTAATATTTGTTGAAACAGAACTGTAAAAAAAAAAAAAAACTTAGCTATTAGCAAATGCCATTTGTTTATGTCATTGACTTTTTATATCCACACATGACTAAAAACAATTGTAGACAACTAATACTAAACAAACAACTTTTTAATGTAGTCATATGGGACCTGTAGGCCAATGTTCCCGGCAATTGTGCATAGGCACGGTATGTACACTCGTGCATGCATTTATTTGAAGACCGCATACAGGTCCAAGATAAGCGTTTAATTATTGTAAAACTTACAAGTAGCTAGAGCCATAGTATATTAGAAGATGATGTAAAACTCAGATAATAAATCGATTATGATTTACAGGTCCATAGTATTTTTTTTTTAATAGTTTTCTATTTGTGGAAATACAACTGAATCTATTTTCTCCTCGTCTTTTTTAGGTAAACAGAAAAAACAAAAACAAAGGAATGCAAAAGAAAAGGCATGAAAACAGTTCAAAGTGGACACGCACATATTGTCAAAGCACCTCAGAATACGGTCTGCCACAAACGATTAAAACACACAAGCTAACTGTTTAAGTGTTATTGTGTATATATAAGACTTCTCTGTTTTAACACCACCTCACAAACCTAAAGAAAAAAAATACCCTTTGGCCTCTACTCCTTGGTAGTTGGTACTCAAGACAGCTCGTAAGAGAATAAAGCGAGTTGTTTCTTTTTTTTTTCCTCGATCTAAATTTTTTGAGCGTGGTGAAAAAAACTACTGATTCACCATGGCTGCTGATATCTCATGGGAAGAAATAAAAAAGGAGAACGTGGATCTTGTTAGTATCTCTTCATTTTTCTTAACATATATCAATTTTACTTGTATCATTTTAGTATTTTAAACATGATTTTTTCTTTTTACGTATTATAGGAGAAGATTCCGTTGGACGAAGTGTTCCAACAGCTAAAATGTTCACGAGAAGGTCTATCATCAGAGGAAGGAAGAACCAGACTCCAAATATTTGGGGCAAACAAACTAGAGGAGAAAGAAGATAACAAATTTTTGAAGTTTCTAGGGTTTATGTGGAACCCTCTGTCATGGGTGATGGAAGCGGCAGCAATCATGGCGATTGTATTGGCAAACGGTGACGGAAGACCACCGGACTGGCAAGACTTTGT